GTTGTTTGTTTGTTTTGTTTGGATGGTGCCATGGCCTCCGGCTAGCACAATAAAAATTATTAAATTAAATTAATATATGAATTTATTTAAAATATGAATCCTGCCTGTCTCCCAAGTTAGGCTTTGCCTTTTACATGTATCCCAAGGAAATATACAAACATAAGATGATTTATAAACAATTTGGGGAGCTAAAACTCATAATATTAATTATGAGCATTAGAAAAATAATTACATGATTACTGTATTAGACACACCAATATTCACAATTATGATAGACATTCAAGAATAGCCATAATTATAATCAGAACACCCACAATTGTAATTAATTCCTATGGATCATGTAATAATGAATTACCTGGCCAGGTATATAACAGAACAAGCATCAGGAATATGTTTGCAGAACCCCACCCCCTCTTCGCCACGTGGTTAGAACTTGCAGCCAATCGCCGCAGGCAAAAGTGGCGCAGCCCCGCCCACCATCCTTTCCACTCCTTCCAAATCAGAAGCTTCCAAAAAGCTTCTGATTGGCCACAGGTGGCCTACGTAACCACCCGTCCCCGCATAGCCGAAGACGAAAACAGCCTTCTGATTGGGCAAGGGGCGTAACCCTGCAGGACCGCCCACTTCCTTAGCTCGAGGGCAACTCACGTCAACCGCCGCAGCGCGCGCACAACCACGAAAGCCGGCCCTCCTGATTGGCGGAGGCTTAAAAAGCGGAGCCCCCGCCCACCGCCTTAACCTAAGTCGACCGCCGCCGCGCTCTCGCGCGGCCAACGCAGTCGGCCTCCTGATTGGCCGAGGCAAACACGAGACCCCGCCCACCGCCTCCCTCAGTCAGTCGCTCACCGCCGCGCGCGCCAAAATGAAGATGCCTCCTGCTGGCCAGGCTGGACGTCCGGGTCGGCCTTGACCAGCGCACTTGACACGCGCCAGGGGCAGTCGGGCCGGCCGGGCCGCCCGGAGGAGGTGGCAGCAGCTGCCGCCGCCCCCGGTGCTGCCGGCGGCGGCGGCGGCGGCTCGGACTTCTTCGTCTGCCGGCGCCGGAAGCCGCCACGCGCGTTTCCCCTTCGAGCCCAGCGCCATCTTAGCCGGGCGGTGGAGTGGCGCCAGTGCGCCTGCGCCGCGGCCGGCCTGTCAATCGAAGCGCCATTTCCCGCTCTTTGCGCTCGAACGCCACGCCCCCTCTCGCGAGCCACGTGCTTCTGGAGCCCAATAACTTGGTATCACGTGTTCAGAGGGCGGCTAAGTTGTTGTTGAGTTGTTTAGTCGTGTCTGACTCTTCGTGACCCCCTGGACCAGAGCACGCCTGGCACTCCTGTCTTCCACTGCCTCCCGCAGTTTGGTCAAACTCATGCTGGTTCGCTTTGAGAACAGTCTCCAGCCATCTTGTCCTCTGTTGCCCCCTTCTCCTTGTGCCCTCCATCTTTCCCAGCATCAGGTCTTTTCCAGGGAGTCTTGTCTTCTTCATGAGGTGGCCAAAGTATGGAGCCTCAAGCTTCAGGATCTGTCCCTCCCAGTGAGCACTCAGGGCTGATTTCCTTCAGAATGGAGAGGTTTGATCTTCTTGCAGTCCATGGGACTCTCAAGAGTCTCCTCCAGCAACCAGAATTCAAAAGCATCAATTCTTCAGCAATCAGCCTTCTTTTATGGTCCAGCTCTCACTTCCATACATCACTACTGGGAAAACCATGGCTTTAACTATACGGACCTTTGTTTGGTAAGGTGATGTCTCTACTTTTAAACGCGGCTAAGTTACCACGTGGCCAAAACCTCTAGACTGGATTCCAGTTGTCGGGGAACCGGCTGGTTGCTGAGTTAACCCATTGGAAAAATTATTATTATTATTATTATTATTATTATATTATTATTATTATTATTTATACCCTGCCCTCCCCAGCCAAGACTGGGCTCAGGTTGGCTAACAACCAATAATAAAACAAGTTTATTAAAACACAATTTAAAAAACAAGATTAAAATACAACATTAAAATGTTAGGATGCAGCCTCTTCACAGGAGGAGAAAGGGGGTGGGAATCAAACTGATTCTAAGCCAAAGGCCAGGCAGAACAACTCTTGTCTTATGGGCCCTGCGGAAAGAGATCAGATCCCGCAGGGCCCTGGTCTCATGGAGCCAGTGTTGAAAAGGCGCTGGCTCTGGTTGAGGCTAATATGACTTCCTTAGGGCCCAGGACCTCATAGGGTGTTGCCTATTTATGGACCTTAAGGTCCTCCATGGGGCATACCAGGAGAGGGGTCCCATAGGTAACCAATGAAGGGTGGGAGGGGGAAATATTTATTTTTGAAATATGGAGTTTTGGTTGCCACGTATTTGATGTAATAAGAAGCAAGAAAATAGTCAACCATACACATTAGTGAGGACAACAGTTCCTTTCCAGAATATCCAGGAAAGAAGTGTGTGTATAAGACAGATAACCAACTAAATATTATTGATAAGTGATGTTTCCCCTACATTTTTTTTAAATAACAAGTATAGAACTTTGAGCATTCAAATGGCTTTCTTGGACATTTTGTTGTAATCTTTACAAAAAACCATGTAAGGTAAAGGGACCCCTGACCATTAGGTCCAGTCGTGGCCAACTGGGGTTGCAGCACTCATCTCACTTTATTGGCCGAGGGAGCCGGCGTACAGCTTCCGGGTCATGTGGCCAGCAGGACTAAGCCACTTCTGGCAAACCAGAGCAGCACACGGAAACACCGTTTGCATTCCCGCCGGAGTGGTACCTATTTATCTATTTGCACTGGTGTGCTTTTCAAACTGCTAGGTTGGCAGGAGCAGGGACTGAGCAAGGGGAGCTCACCCTGTCGCGGGGATTTGAACCATTGACCACCTGATTGGCAAGTCCTAGGCTCTGTGGTTTAACCCACAGTGCCACCCACATCCCTTGTAAGGTAGGGCGCTGCTAATAAACAGTACATAAATCCTTACTTCTCGTAATCACCACCATTTATCCGACATTCCATGGTGCGCATATATATATATATATACATACATACACACACCGGTTTAGAACAAAATGAGGTAGTGATTATTTCCTTTTACTTGATCATATTTAGTATTGAGAAGTACATAGGAAGCTGCCAAATTCCAAGTCAGGCGTTTCACTGGTCCAGCTCACATTGTGGCAATGCCTTTCCAGAGTTTCCGGTGGCATCTTACAAGGTAACAGGAATCAAAACTGAAACCTTCTGCATGGCTTTCTGACAGTTACGGCTTATCCCACTGCATATTACCCAGACCTTATTTAATTTACACTGGTATTTAAAAAATATACCGATGCAGAAGCCGATATAAGCAGTATCAAGTCAAATCGCTGGTCCATATAGCTCAATATCAACTATGCCAACTGGCAGTAACTTTAAAGACTGGTCCTATCAGGTGATGCCGGGAATTGAATCAAGGACCTTGGGCATGCAAAAGTATCCCATTGAACTCTGGACCTTTCCATAAAAATTAATGGATCCTGAATAGTGGGCTGAATTAAATAGGAACTTATAGAACCCAAATGCTCTATAAAGGGCTTAAAACATAGGAGCACTGTGGTGAGTCAATGTAAGCATGACAGCTAAACAGAACAGTGATAAGACACGGCATAACGCTTCTAAGTTAGTATTTTACTATTTCACTTTAATGAAGTAAATATTTGGGTTGTGGGGGCTTGTTGACAACTGGCATCCTGTGATTTGTTGGAACTGCAGTCAAGGTTTCCTTTCCAGTTTTTTGAATATGTGGGCAAGACCAGAAATTGTGCGCAAGATCTGCTTCTGAGTGCATAAGGGAGGTCTACACTGAGAGCTTGCTTGGTAAATCTGAGCCTTTGAAGTAGTACAATAATGAGCCTGGGCTCCTCCACACTGGTGTGTTATTGTGTGTGTATCCTGCCAACATGCTCTTGACATGGTGTAGCAGGAAACCCCCCACCCCAATCATTCTGTTTGTGCAAACTTCACACACACACACACTCACACACTACATACGCCACATTTCTGTTATAAATTCATAGAAAATCAACCATACATCGGATTTGCACTGTTCCATTTTATTTTACTCCATGTGACAAGGACTATCAAAGGGGGGTGGGGGTGGCTTGGTTTCTGGTCAGCCATGATCCCTTCAGCATACCAGCACATCCACAGGGGCCCTGCCCAGTTGCTATGTCAGCCTTGATAATCCCAGACAGAAGACAATCAAAATGACAAAGAACTTGCATATGGTAGTGGATTCGGCATGGACTGAAACAAAGGACAATGATCAGATCTTCCCTCTGGGGGCAGGAAACTGCAAACTCCCCTTTGTCACCTGGAAAGTACTCATGGGGAGGGGGAAAGGAGGAACCAGCCAGGTGACAGGACACTCAGGTTACCACCACAACTCCTCCCTCAACCCCTCCTTTCTGTAATGTATGCATGATGTCAACCCCTTCTGTAATGTATGCATGATGTTTCTGGGGGTGGGCTTGACCTGGAGGAGGGGAATTTCAAAAGTTTTTATAAGGTCTTGCAGGCCATTGTTCTGGGTCTTTCCTCTCTCCTGCGAGTGAGGGGAATACCCTGTTGCAACAGTTCAATAAAGGCCAAGCCTACAGGCTGCTGTTTTGCTCCAAGTTATCCTGGTTGGTGTCTTTGTTTTGTCCAAGAGAGCCCTCGGATTTTTCCGTTAACAGTTGACGACCACGAAGGGACACTTGGTTCTCCTGCAGAGGTGAGGAGGGAGATAGGGGGGATCAGGCGCCACTGGGCAACCTTAGCCCAGAGATCCTTCTTCCTCTCCCTGCCTCCTCTTTGCGGGCGGTAATCAATCGTCACCAAAAGCTCAACCAGGAGAGCAAAGGCGAGGTCAAGCCGGCTAAAAAGAAAAGGATCCTGAGATTCGCGGGGGACATCTTCGAACGTGAGTATGGTTTGAAGTAAATACATTGGGAGGGGGGTGGAAAAGGAACATCTCCCACGACAGCCAGACTTTCCTTCTTTCATTTCCGACGTTCCCTCTCGGGGTCGGCCAGGAACGTTTTAGCTCTATCCTTTTCTCCCCCGATTCTCCCCCTCGGAGGGTGGCCAGGGAAATCGCGGAACTTTTCTGTCTGACGTTATCTCTCGGAGTCGTCTAGAAACGTCAAAACCTTTCCCTTTCTCTCCCCACAAATTCTTACGTGGTGCTTGGCCGGGGAAATTGTGGTACCTTTTGCTGTTTTCCGACGTTCCCCCCCGGGGTCGTCCAGGAACGTCTTAATCTCTCTATCCCTTTTCTCCCCCGTTTTCCGTCTTGGAATTGAGTCCGGGAAAGCGTGGCTCTTTACTGTTTTTCTCTGACATCCCTCTCTCGGAGTCGTCCAGAGGAGTCTTTCAAGTATTCTCTTACTCTCCACCTACCCTAACTATGCAAATGAAGCTTCCCCTCCTGCCTGGCGACCTTTGTTAGGGATGACCTGGGTATGTGAGAACGCAAGGTCGTTTGCTCCCCTTTCAAAACTTTGTTTTCTCGGACCCCAATCTGGCACTGCACAGCGCAGGCGTCCAGTAGGGAGCCCAAACTTAGTCTCAAAGGCTAGGCAGGAGGCTGTTGTGGAAGGTAGAGGGGAGGTTCACAATTGGGGCCCCACACTAGGGTTAGTCTTGAAACAGTACTGTGGTTTAGGTTTCCGGGCAGAGACCCGTGGTTTAGGTTTCCGGGCAGAGACCCGTGGTTTAGGTTTCCGGGCAGCGACCCGTGGTTTAGGTTTCCGGGCAGAGACCCGTGGTTTAGGTTTCCGGGCAGAGACCCGTGGTTTAGGTTTCCGGGCAGAGACCCGTGGTTTAGGTTTCCGGGTGGAGAGACCCGTGGTTTAGGTTTCCGGGCAGAGACCCGTGGTTTAGGTTTCCGGGCAGAGACCCGTGGTTTAGGTTTCCGGGCAGAGACCCGTGGTTTAGGTTTCCGGGTGGAGAGACCCGTGGTTTAGGTTTCCGTTCAGGCTTGAGGTTTTTAGCAAATAGCTCGTGGTTAAGAAACAAGTAGGGATTGCGCTAAGTCAAGGATATTCCAAATACTGAAAGAATCTTTCTTCTACCCCTTTCTTTCCCATTGCCTTTCCTCCCTTGTGTGTGTGTTTCCACTCTTTCTGTCTTTAGCGTACTTCGTTAACGGAAAAAAAAAAAGGCCCAATAATAACATATGAGAGAATGGGAGCTCACTAAACACCCTAGCTGGACTCCTCCTGGCAACAAAGCTTCCATGAAGCCTTTTTGCCCCAGAGAGGATTCTAATATGCCCCCCAGCTTGTCATCTCCAATTAGAGAAAAAATAGAAATAAAATAAAGGGGCAAAAATGGTCAAGTTTGTGTTGTTAAACTGTAGCCTAGAGCTGGAACATGAAACTGTAAACTTAATGGTGCACAGAAGGCAGTAGATATAATAACAGCCCATGTTCTTAAATGCACATAGTTTTAAATTGCAAGCTTGCTTCAAAAAATCTTAAATCTAAGGAAGCCGTGTTGCGCCTTATCAATCTTAAAACAAAACAAAATGGAGAATGGAGTGTGCAAATGTTTGTTATTTGAGAGAGGCTCTAAAAGAGAGTTTCCCTCCCAAGTGGTGAAATCCTGTATACGTGCTACTTGTGTTCTGAAAGGGGGATTACCCCACCTCTTTCTTCTAGTTTTAAGTGAGGAGGGTGATTTTAAGTCTAATGGTAAATGATGTTTTGTTGTAACTTTTGAGTTTGCTCCAGTCTATTTTGGAAGGAGAAGTTAACCTAATGTTTCTGCTGCAAAGCCTAGTTGAGCACAACTGCTCTCTCAAGCTAAAATGCAGTGTATGTATTTCATTAAGCGTATGCCTATAAAACTATGGTGTTCATTCTAAGAAAAAAATACTTGAGTCCAGTTTTAACTTTGATTTGGTTGGACAGAAGAGTTATTGTAAGGCTCCTGATATCAGTCTCTATAAGACTTCATGGCCTCTTTTGTTAGAAAATGCCCCCCTCCCCCTTGTTTCACTCTGCCTCTTTCAGTTGTTTTCTCCCTTCTTACTTCTGTGCCAGGTAAATTTACTCCCGAGTAAGCTTCCTTTAAAGGAAACTGCAAAGAGGGGAGGGGGCAACACTTGTGTATTCCCTTTAAAAAAATCAAATCTAGGGCTGCTTTAACTGTGCTTTATAAGAGATCCTCTCCCTATCTTACGAAAACTGTTCACTTCTTCCTTAAATATCATTTCAAACTCACTCAAACTATCTCAAGATCTGCAAAAAGGGTTCTGTGTAAAGTTATGTACTTTTATTTTCCTCTTCCTTAGTACATGATATGAGCATAGATGTTTCCTTTCCCAGCTGTAAATCTGTACTTAAATGTGTATGCCTCTTTGGTAGTACAAATCTTGCTGCAAAATCTTGCTGTGAACCCTATATTTTGGAGGGTTGGACTAGATGACCCCAGGGTCCCCTTTCAACTCTCCCAATTTGTGGCTGTGTGGAAGGACATGTGTCTGCAAGCATTGGAGGGTACTTCTTAAATTCTGGTGACGTGATGGAGTTGAAATTCAGCCTAGCTTTGCTTTTTAGTTTTAAAAGGTGCGAGATGAAGCCATGATGTTTTGAAGCACAACTGGTAACATCAAGCATTTGGGTGATTACAGTGTTTATCATTTTGTCTACTATTAAAAAAATCAGACTTCAAAGTCAACTCAAAGTTTCAGCACATACGAATACATAGGCGCCTTGACCATTCCTGTAAATAAAGGGCAGAAAATAATAATATTAATAATAAAATTTGTCTGCAAATGGTAAGGCTAAAATGACTGAGAATGTTAAAAAATCCTATGAATTCTAACTCTAGCCATTTTTACTCATAAATAAGAGAGCGGTTGATTGTTCCGCGAATGGCCAGAGGGATATTAGCCCTTTCCTGTACATAAAGGAAGCAGTCTCGTTTGCTTGGGCTGAAATTGCTAGTTTTGGTGAATACTTAAATTGCTGAGTTTCTCTTTTTTGTTTAAAATCAAACCCTGTTTTCAAAATCTACTCCTTACCCTTCCCTTCCCTTATTCAAATGGTAATTTAGCCAAAGGATGCAACATTTTCAATAGTATAAAAGGTTTGCTGAGACATGAACTCTGCACATGCACAGAGGCCAGATTAGCTAAAGAAGAGAGAGAGAGGAAGGGGGGAACTGTAAGGGGGAGAGGAGGTTTCCTTTTCTTCAAGGGTGCAATGACAGTGATGCTGAATATAAATGAGAAATACTGACCATTAATGAAACTGGGGCTAATATCTGTTGCTGCCATACCTGTTCCTTTTTGCCTGACCTTCGTTAGAGTCAGTTAGCACTTTCATCAACTCTGCAGCTGCAGACAAGGACTACAGAGAGAAATTTATCCAAATGCAAAAACAAATTTATCCAAAAAACAAATTTATCCAAATGCAAAAACTTTGAACCATTGAGGGAAATCACCCTAAATGTTTCTTTGCTCCAGGGGCTACGTAAGACAAAAGGCTTAAAAAAACAAAAAAAACAAAAAAAAAAAACAAAAAAAAACTAGACCATCAAAAGCCAAGAGCTTTCCAGGTTCCAAATCTTAACATGCCAAATTCTTTTCACAGGTAAATATCAAAGCATTCCCCCCCTCAATGGGAATTTTAGGAACAGCATTTCCTGACAAGCTTCTCACATGAAAAAATTTTCCCTTTTAACAGGATATGTGAACCCCGATAACAAAGTGTTTGTCCCTTTTTCCTCCCACAGCAACTTTCTTTCTGTTCTGTGAAACAAGTCTGAATCCCTGCTATATTAGTAACTTCCATCTCTTTGTGGCTTTGACATTTTTTTAGGTTACAAATAATTTGTTTTCGTTTACTAAGTTCGTTTTATCAGTTCTTCCATTATATATATGAAATTAATCGAAGCACAACCAAACATTGTTTGTGGAATGGTATTGTTTACCTTTTTGCCTGAGCATTTCTTAATTCTGTCATTTTGGCTAGTGCAAGGTACTTGTACAACTTTAAATTGCCATTCATTTTTTCTTGGTATTAACTCATTTCCCAGTATTAACATTACAGCTGATGTTGTCACATCAAGAAACACTATTTTATTTTCATTTGGGATGTTAGAATGCCAAAACAGATTACTTCAGGTTACTTCAAGTTTCTTATTAATTGTGTGTCTTAGCGTTTATTTATTTTTGGTTCCTCATAGGTAATTTTGTGTGTGTGTTCTACTTTGGGGACATGTTCATCACATGTTGAAAGTCAGTTTCATGAAGTTCTTTTATCAGATAGCACATGGTGAATTTAAAGTTTTTTCCCCATGGTTTTCCCATTTTTTCAGTCTAGTAGTAATCTGCGTGGTTTTGATAATATATTTAATAATAATTCTTTTCTAAATCTGATGTCTTTGTGTCAAGTTTGTTTTCATCTGACTGGTAATCTAATTTTTTGCTTTCTTTTGTATTTTTTAACCTTTGTATTTTTTTTACAGTTCTCTTTCTATACATGTGGAGTAATTTTTATTTTATAATATGAAAAGAACAACAACAACAAAAACTAAGTGAAGGAAAGCAAACAAACTTAGCAGATAATAACAGTAATTATGTGGAAATGTGATAATAATATTGAAATGAATAAAATGCTTAATGTGCTAAGATTGTTATTATTTGCAGCTTCCCATGGAAACTGGAGGACATCCTTTTTGCCTTTTGCCCCTTCCTTGTCTAACTGTGTTTAAGTCCCCAAAACCCTGCCCCCTTACAGGATATCACGTCTACAGATGTGCAATGATGAAAAGCAGCAACAACCCCTCAACTCAGTTCTTCGTCATCACAAGACACCAGAGTTTTCAAGTGCCCACAGCTATCTCTTTCAAAGGATATAGATTGCCAGGGGAGTGGGCCTGACAAAGGGGGGTGGAGTTGACTTGCAAGGACATCTTTTCACTTGAACCTCAAGCCTCCGCGCTCCAGGATTCAAAAGATACATGCGTAAAAGATCACAATTGTGTCAAGATATGCAACTGATATTTAATTAGTTTGTTTTGTTTTAAGTGTTATTATGTAGGAATGTTGAAATGTGTCTGACAGTGTGTTATTTCCACAAGGGGGGGTATTTTTGTGTGTAATTTTTATGTTTAATGTCTTATTGCTTGCACACCAATTCTCATGCATTTTATACTTTCTGATAGCTCACACTATTGTGTAGTCCAATGTTTAGATAACCACATTTCGTTGTTCCACCTGGCACTCTGCCAACTTCCCTACCCATTTAAATGTGCTAAAACTCGCTTTACCAAAGAGAAGCTGATAAGATACATGAAGGTGCATATGCTTTGGTTTAGCAGGAATGATCCCTTATAGAGTTAAATTGTCTTATTTAGACAAAATGCCCTCTTAAGAAGAGTTTTCCTTTAACAGACTGGTTTGAAAGGTTGAGAACCATGGGCACATAAATTCAAATTGGACTCAGTTTGAATTGGGCAAGTGTATCCAGGCTGCAATTAGCTTTTTGGTCCTTAAAGTGCAAGTGAGCAACTTCCCAGGATGCAAGACCAGAGCCTGTAATAATAATAAGAAATCCCATGGATTTTGGCCAAGGCAAAGGCATTTCTCTCAGGACGTGTCCGAAACCTGTGCCAGCTGTGGTGGGTGCCAGGCTACATGATAAATATGAAAGCCCTAAGTGGATTCAGCAGGGATTGCCACTACTGCGACACCATGCGGATGTGAGACCACAGAAGAGCTACCTTGACACCTGAGAACACACAAATGGGTGGGGGGGAAGCAAACTGCACTTTTCAGTCATTAGTGGACCTTCCTGCCTAAATGTAAAGCATAGATCACTATTGAGAAAATATTTCTTCCAAGGTGCTAGAATACCACAAGTAACTGAGCAACAAAATATTAATTTACGTGATATCCTATGTCTAACTATGTGCACTGTTACACCATTATATTTCCATGCAAATATCCTTAAAGTAGCATGATATCCAAGTCCCTTTCAGGTTCACATGGACACACACATCTGGGACGGAGAATACCAGGTTATTATTTACCACCTTAAATTGTGCGGAGAAAAGGATTGCAAAGTAGCCACCTTTGCAATCTTATCTCCGAAGGGGGGAACTGTAGCAGGAAACCCCCCACCCCAATCATTCTGTTTGTGCAAACTTCACACACACACACACACACACACTACATACGCCACATTTCTGTTATAAATTCATAGAAAATCAACCATACATCGGATTTGCACTGTTCCATTTTATTTTACTCCATGTGACAAGGACTATCAAAGGGGGGTGGGGGTGGCTTGGTTTCTGGTCAGCCATGATCCCTTCAGCATACCAGCACATCCACAGGGGCCCTGCCCAGTTGCTATGTCAGCCTTGATAATCCCAGACAGAAGACAATCAAAATGACAAAGAACTTGCATATGGTAGTGGATTCGGCATGGACTGAAACAAAGGACAATGATCAGATCTTCCCTCTGGGGGCAGGAAACTGCAAACTCCCCTTTGTCACCTGGAAAGTACTCATGGGGAGGGGGAAAGGAGGAACCAGCCAGGTGACAGGACACTCAGGTTACCACCACAACTCCTCCCTCAACCCCTCCTTTCTGTAATGTATGCATGATGTCAACCCCTTCTGTAATGTATGCATGATGTTTCTGGGGGTGGGCTTGACCTGGAGGAGGGGAATTTCAAAAGTTTTTATAAGGTCTTGCAGGCCATTGTTCTGGGTCTTTCCTCTCTCCTGCGAGTGAGGGGAATACCCTGTTGCAACAGTTCAATAAAGGCCAAGCCTACAGGCTGCTGTTTTGCTCCAAGTTATCCTGGTTGGTGTCTTTGTTTTGTCCAAGAGAGCCCTCGGATTTTTCCGTTAACAATGGTAACAGTGGTGGATTTATTCTGCTTTATTCTAGGATGCTTCTCCAATGCTGTCCTGTCCAGAGGGCAACAAAATCGGGACAAAAAGAACATTTGTGCAGTTAGAGGATTTCACCGGGAAGGTATGCCCATTAGGAATGGAGCAATGTGGCCACCTCAAAACTTCTGCAAGCGCACAAACAGTACTGAAAGTAGGGTTGGCTGCGTGTCGTGTGACTACCTTGAGCACAAATCATCGTGAATGTGCAATGGAACAGATGCTTGGAAGGGCCCTCCTTTGTTTTTTTTCTGCAAGCAGACGTAGCTCTATTCTTGCTTATTCCAAATCTAGACTTGGATTAATACGTCACAGGACATGTCACTTTCTATTAAGCTAAAAGGGGATCAGATAGCAACCGTGCTCTGGTGTGATCCTCCGTGGAGATTACCAGGGAGCGAAAGAGAGAGTCTTTCCCTTGCATTCCTCCTACCTCTCCAGACAGGTTCTAATCAGCAGGGAGATATGATTCCTCCAGGGCAAAAGGTGCCTCAATGATGCCCCACGGGCTCCAGGATCCTGCCCTTGACGCTGCGCTCTCTGGTTCATGACGGATCCTGGTGAAGCTCCGAAAGCTAAGGCACCATGTGGGAGCAGTTGAAGAAAGCACTCTTTTGCCCGTTCTCCATCAGCCTTGTGGGGCTCCGGAAGTGGATCCGGGCCTTCTGGAGCAAAAACGGCCTCTTGACACTTTCCATGCTTTCCGTGATGACTGGGTGCCTGGTGGGGTTTCTGCTGAGGACACTGGAATTGTCTGATTTGGTAAGTGACTGGTTTTAATGGAACAGCAACAGGGCAGGCCTTTCTGAAGCAAGACATGCAAAGGCAGAGACTGGATTTCTACGACAGGGGCCATAGCTTGCTTGGAAATGGCATACTCCGGCATGACCCCACCTTGGTGGGGGTCAGCTGTGTTTACTCCAGTATATAGTGCATATGCTCGGGCGCGCTTAACATCCCATGCAGATACTGCAGGAAGCTTCTTTCCGGAGAAAGGAACTGAGCAGTGGGATTTTGTTACCCCAGAAGCAGCCAGTTTCAAACCTGAGTGGCCCTGGAAGAATGGAGAGTGTGTGTGTTTTGGTTGTTGTTTTGTTTAGTGAGGGGATTGAGTTTGGGGTCCTTCACTTTTTTTTCTGGCAGAGGGATTGGTATCCAGAGAGTCAGAGTTTCTACAGGTGAAGCTTTTTGCTGCCATGATGATCCATGGATTAAAGGTGGAGGAGCAATTCTATTCTATTTGCAGTTCAATGAGAAACTATCTGTTTTCCACTTCTTGAACTAATCCAGAAACACAGCTGCCCTTCGAAACTCACACCTCTCTGACTTTTGCAGTGCAGTGTTCCAATCAAGTAATGTATACAAAAACACATGTTTTGGTGAAGGTAACATACAAAAAGGCATTATATTAGAGGGAATTGCTTCCCAAAATGTGCTTATTAGGAGAAATCTGTACCAAAATGTTGGTACCTTACTTGGCTGGAAAACCCAGAAGTGTGAATTCCGCAGGACAGCTGTCTTTCAGATCGCATATTGTTTCAGAAAGCTTGAATTAGCTATGTTCGCCTTTAAATGTGATTCAAATCAAACTCATCCTGCATCCCCAATGACAGGGGTACCTTATTTCAGAGGTTGTGGCTACCTGAAAACTCAGGAGGAATCACCAGAGAATAAGCTGTTAACTCCTTCCCCACCCACCTTGGCCAGCTCCTCTTTCGACATGGCCTTGTGCCATCTCTGACAGGGTTTAGAGAAGCCATTTCAGTTACGGGTGCTTGGTGTCATAGCTCAAAGTGCCGAGCTAAGCTGGTTACTTAACTGCAGCAAGACTCTTCTCTCCTTCCCCGTCGTTGTGGCTACGATTCCCACTGAACGCAGTGCTGAATTGAATAAATTGACATTGGAAAAGTATTGGTGCCAGGGACAGATCTGCTATGAAACGAATGAATTTTAACCTTCAGGGCCCCTAATCCCAGAGGGGCCCCAGAAGTAACAGTCTACATTGATTTAAAAATTTGGGTCTGGTAGACCCAATTTGAGTCACATGACTCAAAATTGATTTTTTTTTTGTTTGCTTATGTTTCAACTATCCCAAAGTGTTGAGCGTCAGCAGCACAAATGTTGTAAAGGTGGAGTGTCACAGCGCAGCAATTTTAAGCCAAATCTTAGCTGTAGTAGTTATTTTTTAAATAAAAAGTGTGGTGATCTGTCATGGAACAACCCCATTGGAGAAGATAGCAGTGGTTACCCAGACCTCGTTGCTGGTTGCAAAGCCCCGCCCCCAACAGTTCAAGCTTCAGGGTCCAAAAATGTATGTCTGGCACTGATACCTTCACCTCTTAAGCCAGGGGTGGTAAACCAGTGATCCTCCAGGTGTTGGACTAGAACTCCATCCCTGACCATAGGCCATGCTGGCTGTTGGTGCTGAGGAGAGTCCAACAATGTCTGGAGGGCCAAACGTTCCTCAGCCCGTTCCTAAGCCTACCTGCCCAGGGTTGCAGCCAGTGGACCCACTGAAAAAGATGAACAAGACTAAACAGGTCCAGTAGTTTTCTTTTTTTATAAAATGATATTTATTGAAAGTTTTTTAAGATTACAGAAAGAAGTGAGAAAAAGAGAGAGAAAAAATTAAACAATACAAGTCAATACATATATATAAAAAAAGAACAAAGAACACAATACATCAAAACCAAAAACAAAAGCAAAAAAATTAAAAACAGATCCAATATTTCCATATCTTTATCTTTCATTAACTTGTTTCATCGACCTCCTCACACCTCCCTTTTTTGTATTCTAGTTATTAATTATTTCAGCAAATCCTTTCCATCTTTCACTATTTTCTGTCATTTAATTGTCTTAATTTATTTTAACCTTATCTTACCATAAAAAACCCTGAAACTTAAAACTTATTTGTACATAACTCCTTATAACATTTCTACTAAAGCCGTATAGTTTCATTCCAACATTTTTCTAACACTCATTAATTTTACAATATTTCTCTAAATAAATTTTTAAACTTTCTTCCCATCTTCATCCACCGTCTCTTCTCCCCAGGTCCAGTAGTTTCCATAGGTCTACTCTGAGCAGAGTAGAGCTTGATTCAACCCCTTCTTCCTAATTCTATAAACTCTGCTGGGGAGTTCGAAGGATAAGCCTGCAATCTTTACGTAGGCTTCCTACTGTTCTGTTGAGCTCTGTGGGACACCCTCCTCAGAAAGTGAGCATACATTTGGGCCGTGAAATACTCCTCTCCATTTTCAAGCTTGGTAGCAAAGGATCAACTCTGCGTGAGTGTCTGGAGGCGGTTGGAGGATGGATGGCGGCTAACAGATTGAGGTTGAATCCTGACAAGACAGAAGTACTGTTTCTGGGGGACAGGAGGCGGGCAGGTGTGGAGGATTCCCTGGTCCTGAATGGGGTAACTGTGCCCCTGAAGGACCAGGTGCGCAGCCTGGGAGTCATTTTGGACTCACAGCTGTCCATGGAGGCACAGGTCAAATCTGTGTCCAGGGCAGCTGTTTACCAGCTCCATCTGGTACGTAGCCTGAGACCCTATCTGCCTGCGGACTGTCTCGCCAGAGTGGTGCATGCTCTGGTTATCTCCCGCTTGGACTACTGCAATGCACTCTACGTGGGGCTACCTTTGAAGGTGACTCGGAAACTACAACTAATCCAGAATGCGGCAGCTAGACTGGTGACTGGGGGTGGCCGCCGAGACCATATAACACCGGTCTTGAAAGACCTACATTGGCTCCCAGTACGTTTCCAAGCACAATTCAAAGTGTTGGTGCTGAACTTTAAAGCCCTAAACGGCGTCGGTCCAGTATACCTGAAGGAGCGTCTCCACCCCCATCATTCTGCCCGGACGCTGAGGTCCAGCGCCGAGGGCCTTCTGGCAGTTCCCTCATTGCGAGAAGCAAAGCTACAGGGAACCAGGCAGAGGGCCTTCTCGGTAGTGGCGCCCGCCCTGTGGAACGCCCTTCCAGCAGATGTCAAAGCGATAAACAACTACCTGACATTCAGAAGACATCTTAAGGCAGCCCTGTTCAGGGAAGTTTTTAACGTGTGATTTTATTGTATTTTTGGTTTTTATGGAAGCCGCCCAGAGTGGCTGGGGAGGCCCAGCCAGATGGGCGGGGTATAAATAATAAATTATTATTATTATTATTATTATTATTATTATTATTATTATTATTATTATTATGTTTCCTCTCCTTTTTGGCACTCAGAATGGGGCCTTCCCAATAGTTGCTCCCCCTGGCCACATGCACACCACGCATTTAAAGCACACGCCTTCCCCCAAAGAATCCTGGCAATAACATAGGAACACAGGAAGCTGCCTTATACTGGATCAGACCATAAGTCCATCTGGCACATGGTTGTCTATGCTGACTTGCAGGGTTTCTCTCCAGGGTTTCAGGTAAAGGGCATTCACATCCCTACCAGGAGATGCTGGGATCTGAACCAGGGATATCAAGAATAAGAATAACAATTTATTATTTATATCCCACCCATCTGGCTGGGTTCCCCCAGCCACTCTGGGCTGCTCCCAACAGAATATTAAAAACACAATAAAACATCAAACATTAAAAACTTCCCTAAACAGGGCTGCCTTCAGATGTCTTCTAAAAGTCAGATAGTTCTTTATTTCCTTGACGTCTGATGGGAGGGTGTTCCACAGGGAGGGCGCTATGACCGAGAAGGCCCTCTGCCTGGTTCCCTGCAACCTCATTTCTCGCCAGAAGACCCTCGGAGCTGGACCTCAGTGTCCGGGCTGAACGATGGAGGTGGGGATGCTCCTTCAGGTATACTGGGCCGAGGCTGTTTAGGACTTTAAAAGTCAGCACCAACACTCTGAATTGCGCTCCGAAACGTACTGTGAGCCAATGTAGGTCTTTCAGGACCGGTGTTATACGGTCTTGGCGGCCATTCCCAGTCACCAGTCTAGCTGCGGCATTCTGCGAGAGGGTGGGGTAACTGCACCCACCACCACAAAGCAGCCCTTGGAGAGCTGGCCACCTTTGCCCTATGGAAACGTCTCCATTCGTGATTCTGGAAGTGAGGGCTAAGCCTGCACAATCCTGTCACCAACGGGAGGTGTGGAGGGTGGCAACACGAGAATTGGCCTTTTCAGTGGTGGCTGGATGGGCGAGGTATAAATACTAATTATTATTATTATTATTACTATTATATGCTCTCTTGGGGAGGCTAGCCTGGTACCATCGTTACATATTCTTAGCTGCCAGGTGAAAACACCCATCAGGCCTTTAGCTTTTAACTAACTTCGCCTTTTTGTGTGAGTGGGATGTTTTAATGTAGATTTTTAGGTGTGTGGTTTTTTGTTTTGTTTTGCTGGCTTTATTGCTTAAAATATTTTAAGTCGCTTTGAGTTGCTGTGGCAAAAAAAGGGACGTCATCACCACCATCATCCTACCCACGTGTAAATTTATAGGAGGGAAAATGTGTTTTGAAAGAACATCGTTAATCCCTTGCCATTGAATGATGGCTGCTACTTGGTCACATCCACACCAGCACGTAGCTTCCCTCAAAGAATCCCGGGAACTGTAGTTTACCCTTCACAAAGCTTCAGCTCCCAGCCCCCTTAACTAACTACAGTTCCCAGAGTTCTTTGGGAGAAGCCACACACTTTAAATGTACGGCGTGAATGTGAGATTGTTTTCAACCTAGGTTCCAGCTGTATGTGCGAAGACTTTCTTTTTTTGCTGCAAGTTCTGTGTTTCTCTGCTCCTCCCAAGTTTTCCTCTGTGGCCTAACGCTTTTGCCTTTCCCCCTCTCCTACAGGAGAAGCAGTATTTCTCATTCCCTGGAGAACTCCTGATGAGGATGTTGAAGATGCTGATATTACCACTGATCACCTCCAGGTGAGAGCAAGAAGGCCAGGAAGCGGCAGGTGGAGAGGGAGTCGCAGTATTGTTTAAAATGGCTCCTTTGCGCTTGGAAGAGAAGAGTTTGCTTTCCTGGGGGTGCAGTTCACACCTCCCTCCAGAGTTGCCATGGGCAATGTGCCAGGAGAGGTGCAATTAGTTCTTCCAACAAAAGAAATAGTCAGCTTTGTTTTTGAGCCACTCAAACCTCCCTCAACCCCAGGGAAGAAAACATTTGAATCTCATGGGCCTCTGCATTTATTTACGCATGGAATCGTAGAGTCCCGAGGGGGTCCCAAGGGTCAACTCACCCAAACGCATGCAAATCAGGAATCTGGGCCGGCCCAAGACATTTTGCCACCTTGGGTGAAACAGAAAACTGAGTGGCAGCAGGGTCAAGGAAAAGCAGATTTCAGGCAGAGGAAAGAACGGGGGCTGGCAGAGGCTGTCTTGAGAGGCTGAGATGCAAACCTCAAGCCACACAACTCGGAGGTTGGTAGCAAAGGCAAGGCAGACAACAAGGAAGGCATTCCCTGGGCAAAGGGTTGAGGAGCTGGCCAGGATGCAGCCCAGTCTGGACACCTCACTCCACTTCCCTGCATCCTCTTCGCCACAAGGAATTAAAACCCGTCGTCTCCTGCTGAATAATAAAGGAGTCTAAAGGTTGTGGGGATCGATTGGCAGAGAGCTGAGCATCAGTTTGAGGGTTACACATACTGAAAAATAGGTAAAGGGGTAAAGGGACCCCTGACCATTAGGTCCAGTCGCAGACGATTCTGGGGTTGTGGCGCTCATCCTGCTTTATTGGTCGAGGGAGCAGGCGTTCAGCTTCCGGGTCATGTGGCCAGCATGACTGTGCCGCTTCTGGCGCAGCGGAACACCGAAACCAGAGCAGCGTACAGAAACGCTATTTACCTTCCCGTCGGAGCGGTACCTATTTATCTACTTGCACTTTGACGTGCTTTCGAACTGCTAGGTTGGCAGGAGCAGGGACTGAGCAACGGGAGCTCACCCTGTCATGGGGATTCGAACCGCTGGCCTTCTGATCAGCAAGCCCTAGGCTCTGGTTTAACCCACAGCGCCACCCGCATCCCTGGAGAAAGGAGTAGGTCAGCAATAAAACAGTCGGTGTTTACTCAAAGAAACCAAAGCAGTGCATACCTAGTGATCACAGCAACTGTTCCCAGTTGGTCTTGCCCCAATGAGGCAGTTGCGAGGACTGAATGCCCCCACCTTCCAACCACACTCTAAGGCAGGCATAGGCAAATTCGGCCCTCCAGATGTTTTGGGACTACAACTCCCATCGTCCCTGACCACTGTCCTGTTAGCTAGGTATGATGGGAGTTGTAGTCCCAAAACTTCTGGAGGGCTGAGTTTGCTATGCCTGCTCTGAGGCTCCTCCCCAGTTCCTTCCCCAGCAGCCTAAGGCTCTGACATCTCTCTTTGCTCCACCCTCTTCATACTGTACTTCTTTGGGTTCTGGGACACCAGGGGGAGGGGAGCTGGTTGCAACAGGAGGGGGAGACCCCCTTGGCTTCTTCAGCATCCTGCCTCATCTCTGTCTCCTGGTCCCGTCCTCTCCTGCCTCTGAGTCTGGACTGCTCTCTGCCATGGCCTCTTCCTGCTCACTAAACGCTGCTACATCTTCAGCTTCTGACCCCTCCTCCTCCCAGTCTTCTCCCTCTGACCGCTCACCGTTGTCCCACCAGCACTCCATGGGCTCTGAGCCGTCTTCCCCTGGCGGTTCCCCCGCTGGTGCCTCCCACCACTCCTTGCATCCAGCCAGTCCAGGACACAATCCAGGAACCACAGCTAAAAAATCCCTGGTAGGTGGCCATCCAGTGAGATGAACAACATAGAATTTGACAGAAACTGAACTGCAGCAGAATGGAAGCCTTGCTGATTCTGACAAATGAGAGGTCAGAACAGAAACTGCTGCCTTTTTAATAATCCTGGTGTCGGATCATGCCCTTCTCTGCTTTCCATATGTGCAATACTAACATCGGCCGCTAGGCTTAGGGCCTTTGCAGCTATGGCAACTGGACAGGGCTGGCGTTTCCTGCTTTGCCACTTAAGGCGAAATTGGCACATGACTCCCCACCACTGAAGCCGCCTGTACGTGCGTTGAAAGGTGGCACCCGCAAAGCGTCGGCAACAGCACTGGCTTTTGGCAGCATCTTGCTAGATACTGGTGCCAGTGCCACTCCTCTGCTGCCCGTGGGGTGGGGTCCGTGGGAGTGCCACCCCATGGACTCTCACTGCTTGCCTCATGGGTGGGCTGGCAATGCACCTGAGGTCCCCTGGAATCAGGGAATTCTCCCTGTTTGCATTCCAGAAGGGTCAAAACCTCTCCTTTTTCGCCAGATGCTTTCTTAACTGGCTGATAACATTTCCCAGGCAGTTCTATTCTGTTTTATTGATCTTATATATGATGGTAGTGTGAATGACTTCCTTTCTGAAAACACCTCTCAGAGCCTATTAAGTGCCTCTGCAATCCCCTTGGGAGCTAAATATCTCCCAGGCTTGACCCTGACTTAGGGAGCGTTGACTCATTACAAAGGTCAGAGCTTTTGCTATCCCCACTCTCTGCTTCAGTAAATCTGGCTCCACGACATCCCACTCTCTCTTGGTCATTCATCAGTCCTTGCAACTAGGAACAGTGAATGAACTTTGTTTTGTTTTGTTTTGTTTGCATTTTAATGAGAAACTACCTAATTCCCACCTAATTCAAACCAATATGCAAACACAGAAACACCTTTGACCTTTGCGCTTCTCCAAGTTTCACAGTGCCGGTTCTCCAGCCAGTTTGTGCAGCAATACACATCAGAGGATGGTGTACATAGGAAGGCACTTGCCAGTGAAAGTAACATGCAAAAATGCCTTATATTGGTCGAAACTGCATGTGAAACCGCATTTATTGGGAATAACCTGCACTAAGATGCTGACGAATTTTCTTGAATCTTTTTGTTAAATGCAAAAATTTCAGTTCAGTGTGGAAAACCGAATGCAAGGCTAATAAAATGAGAAACAGGAAAGCAGAAGGGATTCATCCATTTGTAACACACGTTCCTAGCTTCGTCTCTCCACTGCCGCCTTCTTAGTTGACTCTCCCACATTTATATAGCACCTGGCTTGGTTGTGCTTCTGGTCTCTTGTCATTTTCACCAGCCCCTGGAATGCTTAGCTTGGGTTTCAGTGAAGCAACATCACAGCCAAGTCCTTCAAAGTCTCCATCCTCGCACAGGCCCTGACACTTCTATTTCTTTCTCTCTCTTCTTTCAAGCTGTTCTGGACACATGCTGGAAAAGCAGAATGTGACAAATAGACAGATTAATAGATGTGGAAGAATTGTCTGTTCTGCACCCTGCACCTGTAGATGGAGGCAGGGGGTGTGAAGGGAGGAAGAGAGAGTCACAGGTGGTAGGTAGGTAGGTAGGTGGATGGATGGATGGACCGCTGGATCAGGACCTCGGGGTCCCTGCAGCTCAGCATCCTGTCCCCCACAGTGGTCAACCAAGATTCCTCCAGAAAGCTCAAAGCAGAACGCAAGCACGTCCCTGCATCCTCTCCCCTCCTCCATGGTTGCTCCACAGCAAATTGTAGTTAGGGTCATATTGCCTCTGAATTTGAAAATGTCTATATATCTATATAGGGTGGCGCTGTGGGTAAAAGCCTCAGCGCCTAGGGCTTGCCGATCGAAAGGTCGGCGGTTTGAATCCCCGCGGCGGGGTGCGCTCCCATTGTTCGGTCCCAGCGCCTGCCAACCTAGCAGTTCGAAAGCACCCCCGGGTGCAAGTAGATAAATAGGGACCGCTTACTAGCGGGAAGGTAAACGGCGTTTCCGTGTGCGGCTCTGGCTCGCCAGAGCAGCGATGTCACGCTGGCCACGTGACCCGGAAGTGTCTCCGGACAGCGCTGGCCCCCGGCCTCTAGAGTGAGATGGGCGCACAACCCTAGAGTCTGTCAAGACTGGCCCGTACGGGCAGGGGTACCTTTACCTTTTTATATATCTATATCTCTATCTCTATCTCAGTGTTTCCCAACCTTTTTTGGGCAAAGGCACACTTGTTTGATGAAAAAATCTCGAGGCACACCACCATTACAGCCCCGTGACGTCAGCGCGCAGCGTCACGCCGGGAGGGACGCACGAAAGTGTAACTTTCAATTTTTTTCCCTCCCCCTTGCCGGGGAACCTCCAAGCTTTGGGGGTGGGGGGGGAGGAGGCAGCAAAGCGAGGGACTGAGGGACTCCTCCAACGACAAGGGTTGGGGAAGAAGAGAAAGGGCTATTCCGCTCCAGTCACGGGAGGGGAATATGTACTGGCCCAACTGGTGTGTGGTCTTCGGAAAGCGGGGTGCGGGAAGGAAGCCTAGGCTCGGGGGTCCACCGACCTCGGCGGAGAAAGGCAACAATCGGAGGCGATGACGAGCCGGCGCGTGCGTGCAGCGGCTGGCCTCGAGCTCGGGAAGCTGCGCGTGGCGATGTTGACGCGGGGCGCGCGAGAGCTTGGGGGCGGGGCGGGAGAGAGAAAGAGTTGGCAGCACCAGGCACTGTTACTTATTGCACTGCGGACGCTGCCAGCAACTGCAGTGGTTGTGCGGCGGCCGCCGCCGCAGAACGTCCTCATCAGTCAGCTGAGCTGCCTGGCGGCGTAGGGAGCCGAGGGGCGGGGCTTCCTTTCTGAAGGAGCTGAGGGTGGGGGTCCTCCGGCGCCTTCGGCGAAACGGCGCCGGCCCAGAGCGCTTCTAGGAGGCTGCCTTTGTGCGCGACGTAAAGCCCTCTTTCCCTCCCTCCAGCCCCAAGTCACATGTGGAATAAATAAAAACTGTGGCTGCATTGTAGCTACATCCCGGCCTCGGATCCCCGCGGGATTTGCCTAATCCTTTGGAAGCCCCCTCCCCTCCCCGGCCCCCCATTGTTCTGTCGGGGGTCCCGCGCCCCCCTCTCGCCTGTCCCCCGGGCTTTGTTCTCGATTTGGAGAGGCGGCGAGGCTCGGCTCCGGGAGAGGGAGGCTGCCTTCCAGCCCGCCGTGCGCCCCGGGAGCCTGGACGGCGGGGCCGGGAAGGAAGGCGCTTTGGGGGGCGCGGGGCGCCGTCCCGCCGCCGCCTCTCCCAGCAGCCCGGCAGGTAGGGGAGGGCGCGGAGGGGCTCCCGGCGCGGAGCTGGGAGCCTCCGCGAGGCCCCGGCGCGGAGCTGGGAGCCTCCACGAGGCCCCGGCTCGACGGGGCGGGATAAAAAGGCGGCGCCGGCTCGCAGCGCCTCCCCGAGCGCCCTTTGCACTCCGACCGGCGGAAGCGGAGGCTACGCGGCTGCGGCCGCCCAGCCTGGCCAGGGATGGCGGGGTGCCAAGTACCGGCAGCCCTCGAGGGGAGGCGCCGGCGGCGTCCAGGGACCGCGCCCGCCCGGCCCGGGAGGCGGTGCAGCGCCAGATGTTGCCGCTGCTGGAGAGCCTCCGAGCCCCGGGAGGCTGCGTGCGGCGGTGGCGGCGGCGTCCAGGCGCTCTGGGGGATGCGGGAGCCGAGGGGGCGCCCGCGGGGGAAGGGAAGGGGAACCCCCTCCTCTGCAGCGGGGCCCGAGGGCCTTGATCCAGATGGGCCGTGGCGCTCCAGCGTCTCCTCCGGTGGAGAGCGGGCGACCTCCGGTTGGGGGGCAGCAGGGGTGCCAAATGGATTAAAATATTGGGGGGCGCCCAGGTAAGCCCCACTCCAGGATAGATGGATTTCTATCCTCCGGGGGTCCTCCGGCGCCTTCGGCGAAACGGCGCCGGCCCAGAGCGCTTCTAGGAGGCTGCCTTTGTGCGCGACGTAAAGCCCTCTTTCCCTCCCTCCAGCCCCGTGTCACATGTGGAAAAGGGGGCTGGATCCAGTGACGCAACTCGGAAAACTGTTAGGGAAGCCAGAGCAGGAAAGTGAGTGGGAGGCGGCGGCGCCACTTTAACCCACGTTTCCTTTTTGAAAGAGAAACCAGTGTTTCCCAACCTTTTTTGGACTCGCTCGCGGCACACCAGGCAACAGCTCGCGGCACATTAGTGTGCCGCGGAACACCGGTTGGGAAACACTGCTCTATCTATCTGTCTAGAAATAAATAAATAAATAAATTGTGGAGTTGGGAAGGGACTGCCACGGATCATCTAGTCCAGCCACCCCCACCCCACCCCACCCGCAAAGGAATCTCAGCTAAAGAATCTCTTAAGTGATTCCTACCTGTTTAAAAACCTCCAGCAAACAAGAGCCCACCACCTTCTGAGGTCATCTATTCCATTGTCAAAGCAGCTTCTACCACCAGAAAGTTCATCCTAATGTTAAGCATTTTAGTGCTAATTTCTTCTAATACAGTGGTACCTCGGGTTAAGTACTTAATTCGTTCCGGAGGTCCATACTTAACCTGAAACTGTTCTTAACCTGAAGCACCACTTTAGCTAATGGGGCCTCCCACTGCCGCTACACCGCCGGAGCACGATTTCTGTTCTCATCCTGAAGCAAAGTTCTTAACCTGAAGCACTATTTCTGGCTTAGTGGAGTCTGTAACCTGAAGTGTATGTAACCTGAGGTACCACTGTACAGCCGGGTTGTCCCTGGTCAGTCCTGGTTTGCCCTCACCCCAAAACAAAACAAAAACCCTCAAGAACTTTAGCCCAACGAAACTTTGATGGTCAATCCAATGAGTAGATCACTGCCAGTTTTTTTAATAGTGTGAGTAGATCGTGGTCTCTTGGAAGTTGGACATTCCTGTTCTAATATAAACATTTCTGCAAAACAATTTACCCAGTATGTTAATTTTGCCAGCTTATGTATTCTTATGCAAACATTATTATCATTTATTAAATTTGCATACCATCCTTCATCCTTAGATCTCAGAGCAGTTTTTATTATTATTATTATTATTATTATTATTATATTATTATTTTATTTATTTGTACCCCACCCATCTGGCTGGGTTTCCCCAGCCACTCTGGGCGGCTTCGAGCAGAATATTAAAATACAATGATTCAACAAATATTTAAAGCTTCCCTAAACAGGGCTGCCTTCAGATGCCTTCTAAACGTCAAATAGCTGTTTGTTTCCTTGACATCTGGTGTTCCACAGGGCGGGTGCCACCACCGAGAAGGCCCTCTGCCTGGTTCTCTGTAACCTCACTTCTCGCAGGGAGGGAGCTGCCAGAAGGCCCTCGGAGCTGGACCTCAGTGGGGATGATGATGATGGGGGTGGAGTTTAATGCATAAACTTTACCCTAGTTATATGTTGGTTTTTTGGTACACACAACTTGGTGGGAAGAGCTGCACTGCCAAATTTGAAGTGCAAATTTCCCAGGATGGCTGTGTGCATTGTTTGGGGAAATTGCAGATATGGTAGGTTTTTTCCTTTAAATGCAGACTGAATCCAGTTTCTCCCTCCATTGCTAGATGTAGGTGAGCCAAATGTGCCAGGTATCCATTCATGTGGAGGGTTGCAATTCTTGTTTTCCAATCCCCACCTCAGCATCTCTTCCTGCTTCCTTTAATCAGCCGTCCTGTCCATTTCCCCTTAATGGGATCCGTCACATGGCCCAGAAACGTGCAGCTGGGAGCTTAGGCTAAATTGCTGCAGATTACCTGACATGGCAGGGATCTCACATGTCGCCTGTCTTAGCTCCCAAAGCTGCCCGTCCGGTCTGGCTGCCGCCACACCATTTTAGCAACTCGAGAGCGAGCTTTCGGAGCGTTCTGAAGATCGCGGCAGGAAGTGCTGGGTTTTAAAAGGGGCACCTTGCAAGACTGGGCGGCACAGAAAGGGCTGTATTCGCACCCAGGCCAGATATCTGCAAATCCGTGTTTGTGTTTCACTCCCGCCAGTTCAGCATTTAGAGCCCTTGCAGCCGTTTGGTGAAGTTATAATTTTAAAAACACCAGCTTCCAAAGCCAGCACCCAAAAATTATAGGTGCTAATTGAAAATGAGCTACTCAAAACAGTGCAAATGCATGCATTTTAGGAGCTGGCCAGTCTCCAAAGAGAGATGAGCTCCGAAGGGAATCTGCTGCTGCAGAGATCTGAGATGTTGCTCTGCTGATGGGATGGCAGGGCAAGGTCCTGCTATCGGAAATCAGATCTGGAATCTCGTTGAAACCTCCACCGTTTACCAAATGCTATCTCGGTCAAATGATTTAAACACTCAGGAGACATTACAGGGGAGTCCAAATTCATACTGTGTGTGGGATGCGGGTGGCGCTGTGGGTTAAACCACAGAGCCTAGGGCTTGCCGATCAGATGGTCGGTGGTTCAAATCCCCGCGATGGAGTGAGCTCCTGTTGCTCGGTCCCTGCTCCTGCCAACCTAGCAGTTCGAAAGTACATCAAAGTGCAAGTAGATAAATAGGTACCACTCCGGCGGGAAGATAAACGGCGTTTCCGTGCGCTGCTCTGGTTCGCCAGAAGCGGCTTAGTCATGTTGGCCACAGGACCCGGAAGCTGTACACCAGCTCCCTTGGCCAATAAAGTGAGATGAGTGCCGCAACCCTAGAGTCGGTCACGACTGGACCTAATGGTCAGGGGTCCCGTTACCTTTACCTTATGCTTACTACAGCAATGCTCATATTTGAGGACTTTGCCTAGCTGGGATAGCTCAGTTGGTAAGCATGAGACTCTCAATCTCTAGGTCATGGGTTCGAGCCCCACGTTGGGCAAAAGATTCCTGCATTGTGGGGGGTTGGGCTGGATGATCCTAGTGGTCCCTTCCAACTCCACAATTCTGTGATTCTAAGACGAGAAAAAGCCCGACTCACTGGTTGAACAATTGTTCGCAATATGGGGGGAAAGGAGCATTTTATTGTATAGATTAGAGCCACACCTGTAGCATATGCCTGTTGACCGCTGTGGGGAACAGGATGCTGGACTGGAGTGACCCTGATGATCCAACATGGCTCCTCTTAGGGTCCTACGATGCAGTCCGTCCATCCACCTACCTGCCACCTGTGACTCCCTCTCCCTTCACACCCCTGCATCTGTCTACAGGTGCATCCTCTTCTGCATCCTCATATTCATGGGTAGGCAAACTAAGGCCTGGGGGCCAGATCTGGCCCAATCGCCTTCTAAATCCGGCCCGCAGACGGTCCAGGAATCAGCGTGTTTTTACATGAGTAGAATGTGCCCTTTTATTTAAAATGCATCTCTGGGTTATTTGCGGGGCCTGCCTGGTGTTTTTACATGAGTAGAATGTGTGCTTTTATTTAAAATGCATCTCCGGGTTATTTGTGGGGCAAAGGAATTCGTTCATTATTTTTTCTCAAAATATAGTCTGCCCCCCCCCCACAAGGTCTGAGGGACAGTGGACCGGGCCCCCTGCTGAAAAAGTTTGCTGACCCCTGCTCTTGTTGATCTGTCTGCTTCATAGAATTGCGGAAATGTAATGTTGGAAGTGGACGCGGGTGGCGCTGTGGGTAAAACCAGCACCTAGGGCTTGCCGATCGCATGGTCGGCGGTTCGAATCCCCGCGGCGGGGTGAGCTCCCATCGTTCGGTCCCAGCTCCTGCCCACCTAGCAGTTCGAAAGCACCCCTAAGTGCAAGTAGATAAATAGGTACCGCTTTATAGCGGGAAGGTAAACGGCGTTTCCGTGTGCGGCTCTGGCTCGCCAGATGCAGCTTTGTCACGCTGGCCACGTGACCCAGAAGTGTCTCCGGACAGCACTGGCTCCCGGCCTCTTAAGTGAGATGAGCGCACAACCCTAGAGTCGGACACGACTGGCCCATACGGGCAGGGGTACCTTTACCTTTACCTTTTAATGTTGGAAGGATCCGGGGTGGGTGGGTGTCATCCATTCTAACCCCCTGCAATGCAGGAATCGCAGCTAAGTCTTTGTAATGATGTACACAGTTAACCAGATCCCCACTTTCCTCCTCTCCCTTCAGCTTGATGTCTGGCTTAGCCACCATGGACTCCAAAGCCTGTGGAAGGATGGGGATCATCACCATCACCTATTACCTCTGGACCACCTTCCTGGCAGTTACCACCGGGATCATCTTAGTCATCAGCATCCACCCAGGGGCCGCTGCCCAAAAGGAGGAGTACACCGTCGGCAAAGTGGTGCTCAGTTCCGCGGATGCTTTGCTGGACCTCATCAGGTACCGTCTGCTTCTCTGCATGTTTCTCAAAAGCTCGCGGTGCGTTTGAATCGTTTAAAAGGAGGGGTGGGGGACCTCAGCCTTGGGGGGGCCAGATGTGGCCCTCCAGCTATCTTCATCCGGCCCACGGAAGCCACATTATAGCCCACAGTCTACCTAACAGCGAAAGTTTCATTCTGCCCCAAATTTGCAAATTTCTTTTAATATCTTCCCAGGTTTTTAAATAATTATCTTTATACAGATTTGTACTATTTGCTGTTAACCATACACCTAAATACTTAACCTTCTTTTCAATCTTCAGACCTGACACATCTTGTAATTTATTTTTAGTCTCATTGTTCATCTTTCTTTCTTTTTAACCAAGAGTTTGGTTTTAAAAACTAATCAATTTGAGTCATGTGACTCAGATCGCATCTAAAGGTAAAGGTAAAGGGACCCCTGAACATTAGGTCCTGTCGCAGACGACTCTGGGGTTGCAGCGCTCATCTCGCTTTATTGGCCGAGGGAGCCAGCATACAGCTACCGGGTCATGTGGGCCAGCATTACTAAGCCACTTCTGGCAAACCAGAGCAGCGCACGGAAATGCCATTTACCTTCCCACCAGAGAGGTACCTGTTTATCTGCTTGCACTTTGACATGCTTTCGAACTGCTAGGTTGGCAGGAGCAGGGACCGAGCAACAGGAGCTCACCCCGTCATGGGGATTCGAACCACCAACCTTCTGATCGGAAAGTCCTAGGATCTGTGGTTTAACCCACAGCGCCACCCGCGTCTACTTGGCCCAATTTTTTTTAAAGTAATGTGAACACAGTTTGCTTCTGGGGCCCCTTCAGGATTAGGGGCCCTGGAGCTTAAGCTTCAGTAGTTTCATAGTAGATCCGCCCCTGGAGGAAACAACTTCAAACCCAATCCTGATTGAGGTAAAACAGATCTCTGCTTAGGAGACATTTTGAAATAAGAAAGCCTTCAACAGGCACCAAAAAGACGATAGAGGGTGGTGCCTGCCTGATAAATATATCGAGAGGGAGTTTCGGAAGTTTGGGACTGCCATGCTAAAGGCCTGATCCTGACAGTTTGTGGAATGGACTTGCTGAAGATGGTATCTGTAGGAGGCCCTCTCCTGCAGCGTGCAGTGATCAGTCAGGTATATAAGGGATGAGACAGTATTTCAGGTTTCTTGGTCCTAAATTGGATAGCAGTCATGGGGAACCTTTGGCCCTGTGGGCGTTGCTGGACTCCCAACTCCCACCAATGGCCAGGGATGATGGGAACTGGAGTCCAGCCATGTCTGGAGGGCTTTGTCTGCCAGCACTTTGAACTATATTTGTCAAATGGTTTTATAATACAGAGGAGGTAGACAACTCTCACTGGAACAAATTAGGGCACCCCATTCAGGGAAGTTTTTAATGTTTGATGTTTTATTCTGTTTTTAATCTGTTGGGAGGCGCCCAGATTGGCTGGGGAAACCTAGCCAAATGGGCGGCGTATAAATAAATAAATTATTGTTATTGTTATTTTATTCTTATTCATCTCAGAAAGACCTGTAGTCAGTGTAAGGGCCATAGATCTAATGCCCTGAAGAGTCACCCTCTGACAAGTGCAATCTTTCCCAGGATAATATTTATTTATTTATACATACATACACACCCCTCCCATCTGGCTGGGTTTCCCCAGCCACTCTGGGTGGCTCCCAACAGAAGATTAATAAAAAAGCAATAAAACACAAAACATTAAAAACTTCCTTAAGCAGGGCTGCCTTCAGATGTCTTCTAAAAGTCAGATAGCTGTTTATTTCCTTGACATCTGGCGAGAGGGCGTTCCACAGGGATGGCACCACTACCAAGAAGGCCCTCTGCCGGGTTCCCTGCAACCTCACTTCTCACAGTGAGGGAACTACCAGAAGGCCCTCGGTGCTGGACCTCAGTGTCTGGGCAGAATGATGGGGGTAGAGATGCTCCTTCAGGTATACTGGACTGAGGCCGTTTAGGGCTTTAAAGGTCAGCACCAACACTTTGAATTGTGCTCGGAAACATACTGGGAGCCAATGTAGGTCTTTCAGGACCAGTGTTATGTGGTCTCGGTGGCCACTTCCAGTCACCAGTCTAGCTGCCGCATTTTGGATTAGTTATATTTTCCGGGTCACCTTCAAAGGTAGCCCCACGTAGAGCGCATTCCAGTAGTCCAAGCAGGAGATAACCAGAGCATGCACCACTCTGGCAAGACAATCCATGGGCAGGGAGGGTCTCATCCTGCGTACCAGATGGAGCTGGTAGACAGCTGCCCTGGACACAGAATTAACCTGCGCCTCCATGGAAAGTTGTGAGTCCAAAATGACTCCCAGGCTGCGCACCTAGTCCTTCAGGGGCACAGTTACCCCATTCAGGAGCAACTGCCCATATATGTTCTTTCTATAGGCCAGTAAGGGTTAGCAATGTGGTTTTAATATGCAACTGCAGAAACTCTCCGGAGATTATTTACTTTAGTGAATAATCCATACTCTGACTTGCAGGGATTTTTTTTTCCAATTTGCATTTGTAATTTGGACCCTCACATCCCATGTCTCCTATATGAATCCGACTCCCTTTCTTAAAGATCGTTGGGGGGCTGCCTCCCTCGGCCACCCACGACTTGAGAGCAGAAGGTGGAGAAATTGTGAGCCTCTGGCACAGATGCCATAGCATCTCATAGAACATTGCTCAAACTTTCTGATGTGGTGCACTGGCAATTCCACCCCCACCCTCTCAATATGCCAAGGACAGGTACCATCTTTAGTCTGGGAAGCGTCCCACCCAACCTGGGCTGTGGATAAACTACAGTTCCCATGAGTCTTTGAGGGTGGGAAGGGAGCCATGACTGTTAATGTGCTACAAATGTGCTTTAAATGTATGGTGTGGGTGTGACCAAAAATAAATGAGCAAACCTCCATTCATGTGGCTGAGGTCTAAAGTGGCCTCCTCAATACTGTTTTGTTCTGTCTCCTGCAGAAATATGTTTCCTTCCAACCTCATCGAGGCTTCATTCCAGCAGGTGAGCCCTTGATATAGTTCTCTTCCCAGCCCTTGCGTGCAGATCAAGCCGTCCAGCCAGCCCAGGGGCAGCCTCTCTCTGCTCTCAGCTCCTACTCACGTAGGCCATGGGGGATAGGCACATTCAGAAGCTCTTGAGACCTCAGGATACGCTGACCCCAGCCTGTCCACTTTCGAGAGCTTCCAGAAATATATGGCCTGCTGGCCCAAGACATTTTGGCACCCGAGGCGGTTTCCAAAATAGTTCCTCCCAGTGCCAGGGAAGGAGAAGGGGTGAGGGAATATCTACATCAGGAGCAATGGGGAAAGAAATGTCTATATTGGAATCTGCTGCCCCTGTGGATAATATTTATTTATTTATTTATACATACATACATACATACATACCCTGCCCATCTGGCTGGGTTTCCCCAGCCACTCTGGACGGCTTCCAACAAAGTATTAAAATACATTGATTCATCAAATACAGTGGTACCTCGCAAGACGAATGCCTCGCAAGACGGAAAACTCGCAAGACGAAAGGGGTTTTTGGTTTTTTGAGTTGCTTCGCAAGACGATTTTCCCTATGGGCTTGCTTCGCAAGACGGAAACGTCTTGCAAGTTTGTTTCCTTTTTCTTAAAACCGTTAATACAGTTGCGACTTGACTTTGAGGAGCAACTCATAGCACGCGGTGTGGTAGCCTTTTTTGAGGTTTTTGAAGACTTTGGTGATTTTTGAAGCTTTTCCAAAACTTTTCCGAAACAGTGCTTCGCAAGACGAAAAAATCGCAAGACGAAAAAACTTGTGGAACGAATTAATTTCGTCTTGCGAGGCACCACTGTAGTTGTTTATTTCCTTGACATCTGGTGGCAGGGCGTTCCACAGGGCGGGTGCCACTACCGAGAAGGCCCTCTGCCTGGTTCCTTGTAACTTGGCTTCTCGCAGCGAGGGAACCGCCAGAAGGCCCTCGGCACTGGAGCCTGCCACCTGAGGCAATTGCCTCACCTTGCCTCATAGGTGGGCTGGCCCAGTGTTTGTGAGATGCAAAGGTGTTCCCCTAACACGCATATTTTTGACAAACCACCCCCCCTGGCATTCTTGCATGTTATTTCCACTAATATATGCACTTTAGTATATTCATGTTTGTAACTGACTGGAGAACTGCATTGCAAAATTCAGAGAAGTGGGAATTTGTAGGGTGGCTGCTGTTTCGGTTTGCATGTCGTTTCAGAAAGTGTGAATTTGGCTGATTAATCGGATTTCTCTCCTCCCCCCAGCAAAAAACACACACAGGGCCCCTCCAGATATCTGTTTTATTGCGCTTTCATGATGATTTCTGCTCACGGTGGTATTGGTGTGGTTATATACAATCCCACTTACACTGCGATTTCCCCTGCAAAATTCCTCTGTAACTGATGCAAGTCCTGTAGTTTCCTTTTAAAGCCCTATAGCTTTCAATACCGCGAATGCTTCGATGGCGAGGGAGCAAATCCTTTGGTGGAGAGGGAGGTTGTTCTGCTTTCGTTGAGCTGTCCCACGAGAGCTTCCCTCCAGATCTCAATAACGATGCCTCACAGAACAACTAATAAAGCAAAAGGATGTGTGGTCAGTCCACAATCCATAACTGACCGCTAATGCGCTATTTGCCTGTTGCAGAATGCACCCACAAGGGTGGGGGGGAACCCTCTTAAGCTCTTTATTTCCCTCAGCGAGCCAGGAGGGTTGTGTTCTCACCCATCCATTCCAGGTACTATGAGCTGAAAAGACTCCATGGTCTCAGCACCATGGATAGCTCCAGTGAAAGGTGGAGGTGGACTGAGACCATCAGAGCTTGGGTGGCCTCCAGTCAGGGATTCTTTAGCTGTGATTCCTGCATTTCAGGGGGTTGGACTAGATCAGGGACGTCCAACTTCCAAGAGACTGCGATCTGGTCCCCGCGATCGACCGGTAGATGGCGATCGACCTGTTGGACAGCCCTGGACTAGATGCCACTGCAGTTTTATGAAGCCTCAGTCACATCCACACTGGGGTGATTTCAACAATCTCCTCTGAATGAAACTTAGTTGAATACCACCCCCTACATTTAAAGCACATGGCTTACCCAAAGCCACCCTGGGAACTGTAGGTTGTTAAGGGTGCTGGGAATGGTAGTTTGATGAGGGGCAAATGACCATTCCCAGGATACTTTGGGGGGAAGCCAACTTTAAATATATGGTGTGGATGTAACCTGCCTTATTGGCCTGAATATAAGCCGCAGCCACAAATAAACTGCACCTTTAAAATTGAGGGGGGGGGGAGAGAAAAAAGACAATACAGTGGTGCCTCGCAAGACGAAATTAATCCGTTCCGTGAGTCTCTTCGTCTAGCGGTTTTTTCGTCTTGCGAAGCAACCCACTTAGCAGATTAGTTCTATTAGCGGTTTAGCAGCTTAGCGGCTATTAAAGGCTTAGTGGCTAAAAGGCTATTAGCGGCTTAGCGGCTTAGAAAAAGGGGGGGGGAGCGAAAAAAATCGCAAGACTTGCAAGACGTTTTCGTCTTGCGAAGCAAGCCCATAGGGAAATTCGTCTTGCGAAGCAACTCAAAAACGGAAAACGCTTTCGTCTAGCGGGTTTTTCGTCTTGCGGGGCACCACTGTACCCGGGCTGCTTCCTGGGGGGAGCTGCACAGCTATGCTGGTGGCGTAAGGTCGTGAATATAAGCCACACTTTAACTTTTCACTGTTGGAATTTGGGGGGACAGTGTGGCTTATATTAGGGCCAATATGGTATACGGCTTACATGACCCCTCCTTTTCTATTTTTTTTAATTAAAGCTTGAAAAAACAAAGAAAAGACAGTGTGCAGAAATAAAACATCTGACATCAAGCACTTTTTAACATAAAGATTAAAAGAAAATAGATAAAGAGGAACGACAAAAACTTCTGATTCTCTGTCTACCAGCTTTAAAAACTTACGGAAAATTCTTACTTCATAATAACATTCAGTTCTCCACTTTCCATAAACCAACCTTTCTTTTTTCAGTCTTCAAACCCTGACACCACAAGTTCATTTTCCTTGTTGTGCAGGGAGTTTTCAGTTGTTAATAAATGTCAACAGTGATTTTTCTCAAATTAAACACGTCAACTTTGCCATCTCGGCTAAATCTATCGTTTTAATAACTGTTCTTCCATAGTAGGTAATAATAAGTCCTTCCATCTTTCTGCATATAACAGTCTTGCGGCTGTGATCATATATTGCAGTAATTGCTCATATTCTTTTTCTAGTTGTATATTCAGGAACCCCCAGCAGAAAAAGCTATGAGCCCTGCTTTTCTAAGATTTAAAACAAAGCAGCCCAACCCAAATTGTGTAAAAAACCATTTCTCCAGGATCCACCCATCTTTCGCTGTCATCTGACATTTTGCTTCTAGTACCGAACAGTTCTTCTGCCCGTGGTGAAGTCTTCTGGGATCCCGAAGAAATCCACAAAATCACTAAGTTTCATCTACTTTGTGCCGGATGCTGAGAACTCTGAGATCCAGAGGCCGGTGCTCCTTGAGATCACGCCAGCGCCAGAAATGACCTACCGGACCCTCCCTGGCAGCAATAACGAGATGAACGTGCTAGGAATAGTTATCTTCTCAGCCACAATCGGTATGCATATCAAATCCCAACTTGGGGGGGGGTCCCCCCAATGTGTGCAAACAGATGGATTTGGAGACATCATTTTCTCTCTGCACAAAAAGGAATTCTTTCGGTGGCTCAGGTTTTGGGGTTGCGTGCAGTATAGCACTAAGTTAAAGTAAGCTAAAGTACAAGGGACACGGGTGGCGCTGTGGGTTAAACCACAGAGCCTAGGACTTGCCGATCAGAAGGTCAGCGGTTCGAATCCCCACCACGGGGTGAGCTCCCGTTGCTCGGTCCCTGCTCCTGCCAACCTAGCAGTTCGAAAGCACGTCAAAGTGCAAGTAGATAAATAGGTACCTCTCTGGCGGGAAGTTAAATGGCGTTTCCGTACACTGCGTTACGATTTCCGTACACTTCCGTTACGAATTTTGCACAAAATACAAACATACGTACGGTGGTCCCTTGGTTCTCAAACGCCTTGGTTCTCAAACGACTCAGAACCCAAACACTGCAAACCCGGAAGTGAGTGTTCCGGTTTGCGAACGTTTTTCAGAAGCCAAACATGTACCGTTTTGAGTGTTACGCTTCTGATTTGAGTGCCACACTTCCGTTTTAGTGCCACACTGAGATCTGTCTGTTTTTGCTATTTATTTTGCATTTTTGTTTTTTGCGGCTCTTTTCTTTTTGTGACTGTGTGGAATCCAGTTCAGCTACTGATTGATTGTGTGATTGCACTACATTATTTATTGCTTTCATTTTATGGATCAATGGTCTCGTTAGATAGTAAAATTCATGTTAAATTGCTGTTTTAGGGTGTTTTTTTTCAAAAGTCTGGAACGGATTAATCCATTTTGCATTACTTTCTATGGGAAAGTGTGCCTTGGTTTTGGAATGCTTTGGTTTTGGAACAGACTTCCGGAACGGATTGAGAACCAAGGTACCACTATACACACTACTAAGCAGATAAAATGTCAAGCTCAATTAGAATTTTTAAAAACCCATACAATTTAAAACACGGGGCATGATTGTGGCGGTTGCTAAGAATTTTTCAGACTCTGCTGCCACCAGCTTCATCTGCAAAGAGAAAAGTCACATAATAATTGGCTGAATTGTCCTGGCTGGGAAGGAACATCTTGCCTTACACCCCTTGAAGATGAGATTATGCTTCTTATTATTTACTTTCATTGATCACATTTGCATCCCACCTTCCCTTCAAAGAGCTCAGGGTAGTGCACTCTTTCCTTCTAACGACAGCACTGTGGGGCAGGTTAGGCTGGGAGACTGGCCGGCCTGAGAGTCAGTGGGGTGGGGATTTGAACCCTGGTCACCCAGGTCTTAGTCCGACATGCTGACCACTACACCACACTGGCTCACACCAGTTGGTAAAGGACTCTGCCCAATGCCCGGCCTACTCAGAGTAGTCCCACTGAAGTTAACTGGGCATGGCTAAGTTGAGTTCATTCATTTCAGTGCGTCTCTCCTGAGTAGGGCTGGCATTGTTTACAACCCGCTGCAACCGCGAGTAAAGCTGGACACTGCATTGCACATTGTTATTATTATGCAAGTGCGGCCTTCATTTATATACCAGCAACTGTTTCTCGGCAGGCCTCCTTCTGGGGAAGATGGGCGAGCGAGGGGCTCCTCTGGTGAACGTCTGCCAGTGCCTGAACGAGGCAGTAATGAAGATTGTGGCCATGGCAGTCTGGTAAGTCAAATGCCGACCTGGTGGGCCAGCAGAGATGGGGAAGCTTTTTGGCTTCATGGGCCAGGTCCTTTCCAGGATCAAATTTGACAGGTACATGTGTGTTTTGCCTTTTTAGTTTGTAAAGCTGGTGACAAGGCCTGCCTCTCATTCTTTTACTGATGTGAGACACTTTGGGAGCCAATAATTGTTTGAATATTTAAAATAAATAAGCCCTAGTGGCTGCATTCTTCCTCCACTGGAACGAGCTAGTTTGGTTTAACGGTCCTAAAAGACCTGCATTGGCTCCCAGTACATTTCTGAGCACAATTCAAAGTGCTGGTGCTGACCTTTAAAGCCCTAAATGGCTTCGGTCCTGTATACCTGAAGGAGCGTCTCCATCCTCATTGCTCAGCCTGGACACTGAGGTCCACTTCTGAGGGCCTTCTGGCGGTTCCCTTACTGCAAGAAATGAAGTCACAGGGAACCAGGCAAAGGGCCTTCTTGGTAGTGGTGCTCACTCTATGGAATGCCCTCCCATCAGATGTCAGAGATAAATAACTATACAATCTTCCGTAGGCATCTGAAGGCAGACCAGTATCAGGAAGTTTTTAATGCGTTATGTTTGTTGTGTCTTTGTATATTTGTTGGAAGCCACCCAGAGGAGCTGCTTCCTTTGAAATTTAAGGGACATCATTTAAGGGATTTTTAAGGGACATCCATCAATAAGGGACAGCAGCGGGACATGGCGCTGGAATAAGGGACTGTCCCTTCAAATAAGGGACACTTGACCGCTATGCCGCCGATCCTGAGCTTGCCCGTTTTGTGCTGCTGCAGGTATTTCCCGTTCGGCATCGTCTTCTTGATAGCCGGGAAGATCTTGGAGATGGAAGACCCCTCCACGATTGGGAAGAAGCTGGGCCTCTATGCCATGACTGTCGTGACTGGCTTGGCCATCCATGGCCTCTGCTTCCTGCCTCTGCTGTTTGTGCTCATCACCAAGAAGAACCCTTTCTCCTTCATCCGGGGGATCCTCCAAGCCCTGCTCATCGCCCTGGCAACGTCGTCCAGGTAAGAGGCGCAGGAGACTCTTAAGGTGTAATGTGGTGTCAGGGCTGGAGTCAGCCGGAGGTCAGCAACACCTGAGGCCAGTGAAGTTAAATCTTTATTCAAGGCAGCCCACCACGGAGCTCAGGCCTAGTGGTCTCAGCAAGTCTTCCCAGGAGGTCTTGCCCCAATGAAGCAGTTGCAAGGACTGAAGGTCCCCGCCTTCCCACCCCTCTCTCTAAGGCTTCTCCCCTCAAGGGTTTTCCCCATGCAGTCTCAACAGTGTCTACACACAACTAATCTCTGTTCTGCTCTTTTCATTTCTCTGCATGTTCTGGGAGACCAGAGGGGGAGGGAACTGGTTGCTGCAGGAGGAGCAGATTCCCTGGGTTCTTCTTCCTGACCCTGAAATAATCCTTGGAACTGCAGTTTACCCCTTGCAGAGCTATCATTCCCAGCACCCTTTAAAAACTACAATTCCCAGGATTCCTGGGGGGGGGGACACACACACACCATGTGTGTATGGTGTACGCACAGCTGGTTTTAAAAATCTGTTTGCCCCTTCTTGGGTGGGCGGCTTTGCGGATGGGCCCCGGGTCTCCTCTGTGAACCAGCCTATTGCAAGCCAGATCGTCCTCCTGCCAACAGATTTGCCAACGGCAGTAGGGATCAGAGGGTGGGCGCAGAGCCAACTGACCAGTAGTAGCGCTTGGCCCCACACCCAGTGCAAGGAAAAATTACCAGCTTGCGGGGCCTTTCGGCCTCTCTCTTACTGAAAGGCGGATAGGCGTTGGGTAAGCCTAGTCTTGGTTGGGGGAGGGGGGGTTGTAGCCTCCGTCTGCTTCTCCATGGGTAAGGGTATCCTGTTAAAAGGGTCCAGGAGGAGTGGCTCCTGTCCGATGCCCAGGCGGGGGCTAGGGCTATACCACTCCTCCAACGGGGACCACCTAGGGGACGCCCCGATTTGATGTAGGTCATAGGGCGTCCGTCCCCCCACTGGCTTCACCCTTAGTAACACTCCCAGCAGACGATCGGGAGTGACATACGCAGTTGCTTGCCACAACGCCTATGGCCAAACCTTCGCAGCTGTAACCAATAACTTTGTGGCCTTATTTGATCCCAAACCAACATGCCTAGTGTTGTCTAGTTATTTGCACCTTAGGGAACAGGGTGGTGACAGGGCCTCCCTACGGAAACACCTGTGCCTTGCTAACTAGCATGGCTTTTCCCTCACAGCTCAGCCACGCTGCCCATCACCCTGAAGTGTCTTTTAGAAAACAACGGGATTGACAGGCGGATAGCCAGGTTTGTCCTCCCAGTCGGGGCAACCATCAACATGGACGGGACTGCGCTTTATGAGGCAGTGGCAGCCATATTTATCGCGCAGGTCAACGAATACGACCTGGACTTTGGGCAGATCATAACCATCAGGTAAATCCACTTCCTTCTTTCATATCCCCCCTCTGGCCTTTGTAACTGAAGCAGATGAAGAAAGAAAGAAAGAAAGAAAGAAAGAAAGAAAGATCAGACGTTGTGACTGAGACCATGCACTTTTCATGACAAGTGTCAAGAAAAGGCAAGAGTGTGGCTTTCTTGCCATATTTGTTATGTTTTGCCAGTCTTCATTATTTTATATGGTGATGACCCAGTGCTTAGAAAGTCCTTTTTAAAAAAAAGACCTAACTCAAGTTCATCCTTTCAAAAAATGAACTATGTTGTTCCTGTTAACAGTTCATCCTTTTACAAAGCAAGATAGTTTAGTTCAAGTTAATCCAAATGAACTTTCTCAGGTTAGAAAAAAATCCATCCTTGCCCCCCTCCCCCCCCAAAATGTTCCAATGTGTAGTATAAAATAATAATGTTCCAGTGTGCAGTATAAAATATAGTTAGGTAGACTGAGAAAACATGAAATGTGAATGGCTTCGTTTATTTTCGCAATCTTTAAGCTTAAAGGCCCAAAGAATCTAAAGCAGAAAAAAAATATGTAAGAGGACTATGAAAACATCAAAATGTACACACAATAGAATATGAATTGCTGGTTCCCCACAACACTTACAATCTTGTTCTGAACTTCAACTTCAACTAGAAATCATGTGAGGTTCTGCCAGAAGATGAACTTAATTCACCTTTAGTTTGCTTGGCAAAATTTGATGCGTCGATAAATGTTGAAACTGATGAACCTGTAGCCAGTTAAAACCAGGGTCCAGGCAGCTAGTGTTTGTTGATGGCTGTATTGCCCACCAGTATTAGAGACTGCATGCCTCTGAATGCCCGTTCCTGGAATTTGCAGATGGGAGACATTGTTCTTGGGCCTTACAAGCCAGGTGGCTACAGTGAGAACTGAATACTGGGCTGGATGGGCCTTTGCCCTGATGCAGCTGACCAGTTTTTATGGACCTTTCTAGTGGCTTAGGCCCAGGGCCAGCCCAAGAAAATTTTGGCACCTAAGTCAGACCCCAAAATGGCATCCCCTTCCCTGCCACCCTGCCAGGGAAGAAGGGGTGAGGGAAGATCTACATCAGGAACAAGTAAGGGAAAGAAAGATTGACACCGGGAACTCCTGCCCCGGCAGATCCTGCCGCCTGAGGCAGTCAACTCGCCTTGCCTCTTGGGTAGGCCGGCCCTGAATAACAATCTACATTGAGATCTGCTGCCCCTGAGGATTCTGCCGCCTGAGGCAGTCTCAGCTTGCCTCATGGGCGGGCCAGCCCTGCTTAGGCCAGCTGCTGCCTTTCAGACTTAACTTCCCCCCAATGCCATCTGTAAAATGGGGGCAATACTACTTGGCCGGTTTAGCTGTAAGGATTGCTGAGATTATGCAGAAAGCACTAAGTGGAAATCACCGGGGGCTCCTGAAAGGTTCTGACCATTTGTCTATATCAGTGATGGCCAAACTCGGCCCTCCAGCTATTTTTGGGACTACAATCCCCATCATCCCTGACCACTGGTCCTGTTAGCTAGGGATGATGGGAGTTGTAGTCCCAAAACACCTGGAGGGCCAAGTTTGGCCATCACCAGTCTATATGGCATCTGCAATGGTTGGGAAAGCCGCCCTGGCCCCAGAGCAACAGCACTCTGCTTCTCCTCTTCTCGCAGCATCACGGCCACAGCGGCAAGCATCGGGGCAGCCGGGATCCCCCAGTCGGGCCTCGTTACCATGGTCATCGTGTTGACCTCTGTCGGCCTCCCCACGGAAGACATCACCCTGATCATCGCTGTCGACTGGGCCTTGTGAGTTGCTCTTTACTCCGTTGGTGTGTCATGTTTGAATGCAGACTGATTAGACAAATCCATGGGGGAGAGGGCCATCGATGGTGTCCGTTAAGTTGTTGTTGTTTAGTCGTTTAGTCGTGTCCGACTCTCCGTGACCTCATGGACCAGAGCACGCCAGGCACCTCTGTCCTCCACTACCTCCCGCAGTTTGGTCAAACTCATGCTGGTAACCTCGAAAACACTATCCAACCATCTCGTCCTCTGTCGCCCCCTTCTCCTTGTGCCCTCCATCTTTCCCAGCATCAGTGTCTTCTCCAGGGAGTCTTGTCTTCTCATGAGGTGGCCAAAGTACTGGAGCCTCAGCTTCACGACCTGTCCTTCCAGTGAGCACTCAGGGCTGATTTCCTTAAGAATGGATGCGTTTGATCTTCTTGCAGTCCATGGGACTCTCAAGAGTCTTCTCCAGCACCATAATTCAAAAGCATCAATTCTTCGGCGATCAGCCTTCTTTATGGTCCAGCTCTCCTCCCTTTCCATGGAGGCGCAGATTGCAGCTATAACCAAGGCGGCATTTTTCCATCTCTGCCAAGCTAAGCAGTTGGCTCCTTACCTCTCTCGCCCTGACCTAGCCACTGTGATCCACGCGACGGTCACCTCCAGACTGGATTATTGTAACTCGCTCTACGTGGGCTGCCCTTGAGACTGACCCAGAAACTCCAGCGGGTGCAGAATGCCGCGGCTAGACTCCTTACGAGGTCTTCGCTGCGAGATCACATTCACCCGGTGCTATACCAGCTGCACTGGCTCCCGGTGGAGTACAGGATCAGGTTTAAGGTGCTGATTTTAACCTTTAACGCCCTATACGGCCTAGGACCCTCGTATCTACGGGACCGCCTCTCCTGGTATGTCCCACAGAGGAACTTGCGATCTTCAAATAAAAACATCCTGAAGGTCCCAGGCCACAGAGAGGTTAGGCTGGCCTCAACCAGAGCCAGGGCTTTTTCGGCTGTGGCTCCAATCTGGTGGAACGTTCTGGCACAAGAGACCAGGGCCCTGCGGGACTTGACATCTTTCCGCAGGGCCTGCAAGACGGAGCTGTTCCACCAGGCCTTTGGCCAGGGCACAGCCTGACTCCCCCCTTTGGCAATCTTCACAGAACTCCAGCCCAATGGTTGCCATCAATTTGATTTGAATTAATTTTATAATGAAATGGTTTTAGAATGCTGTGTTATTTTATTGTTGTTAGCCGCCCTGAGCCCGGCTTCGGCTGGGGAGGGTGGGATATAAATAAAAATGTATTATTATTATTACAAGCCACAAAGGCTACGCTCTGCCTCCACAGTTGGGAGGCAGCAATGCTTCCAAATGCCAGTTGCTGGAAACCACAGGAGGGGAAAGTGCTCTTGTGCTCATGTTCCGCTTGGCATCTGGTTGGCCGCTGTGAGAACAGGATGCTGGACTAGGTGGGCCACTGGCCTCATCCAACAGGCTCTTACTCTGTCCTTATACAGTGGTACCTTGGCTTACAGACGCTTCAGGTTACAGACACTTCAGGTTACAGACTCCGCTAACCCAGAAATAGTGCTTCAGGTTAAGAACTTTGCTTCAGGATGAGAACAGAAATCGTGTGGTGGCAGCGGGAGGCCCCATTAGCTAAAGTGGTGCCTCAGGTTAAGAACAGTTTCAGGTTAAGAACGGACCTCCGGAACGAATTAAGTTCTTAACCCGAGGTACCACTGTAGTCTTAAGGCTATATCTAAGATTGTACAGTCATACCTCGGGTTACAGACACTTCAGATTGTGTTTTTTCGGGTTACAGGCCGCTGAAACCCGGAAGTACCGGAAGGGGTTACTTCTGGGTTTCGGCAGTCACGCATGCGCAGAAGCGGCAAATCACCGCAGACGCGGGTTGCGAACGTGCATCCCGCACAAATCACGTTCGCAACCCACTGTATTGCTAATAGGGGAAATTGGCAAAAACACATGCCTGCAAGTTTACAAAAAACCCAGAGTTGGCAGGGTGAGTGATCTGGCTTCGTTTAATGTCCTGCTGCAGCCTTTCTCAAGCTTGGGTCCCCAGATGTTTGACTACAACTCCCATCATCCCCAGAGCACTGAACCTCTTTGAATTGGTTTCCAACCCCGTTCTGTTTGTCCCCCACATCATCTAGGGACCGGTTACGCACAATGACCAACGTCTTGGGAGATGCGCTGGCAGCAGGAATCATAGCCCACGTCTGTCGGAAAGATTTTGCTCCGAAACCAGGCAAAGTATGTGTGGGTGTCACTTGAGAAGCAGTTACAGTGGTACACCGGGTTACAAAAATTTCAGGTTACAAACTCCGGTAACCCGGAAGTATAGTACCTCGGGTTAAGAACTTTGCCCCAGGATGAGAACAGAAATCGCGCGCTGGCTGCAGCATGAGGCCCCATTAGCTAAAGTGGTACCTCAGGTTAAGAATGGTTTCAGGTTAAGAACGGACCTCCAGAACGAATTAAGTTCGTAACTAGAGGTACCACTGTACATCCAAACATATCAGAAAGTCAGTTAAGGAGTCGGGTGAGAGGGAAGGGTAAGGAAGGACAAATCGATCAGGTTTGTTTTTCAAAAATTCTCATTTTTCCAATCTTAAATTCAGTTCTCCACATTTCCACAATAATTTGCGATTTGCTTAAAAAGTCCTCATGGCCATTCGTCAGCTTCTTAGCGCAAAACATACTTTTAAAAAACAGGGTTTTGACTAATAAACGTTTTTGCAGAATGATTCCCCCCAGTTTTGTGTGATATTTTCACAAAGATGTGCATTTATATGCACGCGTTGCCTTTGTTTGTACATTTCTGTACCGATTACTTGGCTGAAGGAGTGCAGAATTTTCAAGGACGTCTGCATTTCGGTTTGCACATTGTTTCAAAAGATAAAGATTTGGCTTGTACACTTTAAAAATGTGGACTGAATTGAATTCAGAGCTGGTTTGTCTCAGCACCGGCATTTTGCTTCCCGCTTCCCTGCAGGATCCCGAGAGCAACGAAGAAAAACCAGCCTTGAGGGGGACGTGTGCCTCCAACGACCACGTGATGGAAGTGATCGGAGAGGTTTTAGCTGAGCAAAAAAACTACAACATCTGTCAGGTGTGACGCCTGCAGCCCACCTGCTCTTGGGGAGAGAAGGCAAGTCAGTGTGAAGAAGGTGCCTGTTGCAGCTGCTTGACCCTCTGAATGTCCCACCGGACAAGGGCCTCACCGCGCACAAACATAGCAGAGAGAGATCCACTGTGAAGAAGAAGCTCGGAACGACACAAAAGTGCCACGGCGTGAAGACCTCCTCTTGCACGGATAAGAACATGAGAAAAGCCTGATGGGCCAGGCTAGCGGCCCGTCTAGTCTCACCGCAGCCTGTGGAAAGCCAGCAAACAGGATTTCCTGTTTCCCAGCCTATTAGGAGAAGCCAGGGGGTGAACCTGAGACCTTTGTGTACGCAAAGCAAGATGCTGTGCCGCTCAGCTACGCACCTTCCCCTGCAGACGCCCAACTTAGAAGTCCGTCAGCAGGAAAGAAGTGCAGTAAGACCTTCCCCGCTTGCCCCCCACCCCGCCTCAAAGCATTTGGCCTGGGACATGGGCCTCCCATGAAGAAGACGTAAAAGGAGCCAGGTGGTCCATCTATTGCAGCATCCTTTTTTCACAGCGGCCAACCAGACGCCCGCGGGGAAATCCGCAAGCGGGATTCGAGCGTGGGAGCAACCTTCCCCTCCTGTGTTTTCCAACAACACTCATTCAAAAGCATAGCCGCTTCCAAGTGTGGCAGCAGTAGCCTTAGATAGCCCTCTCCTCCATGAATGTCTCGAAATCCTCTTTTAAAGCCATAGAGGTTTTTGACCATCGCTGCCTCCTATGACAGCAGGTTTCATAGTTTAACGACGCACCCTTTAAAGGATAAAGGGTGTAAGGAAGTCTGTTGACAACTGCTTTCAGCTCTGCCCAGACACAAACAGACAGACAGCAGGATGGAATTTCCCCAAGCCACATCTTGCTAGCATCTCTAACTAGGTTACGCGGGTGGCGCTGTGGTCTAAACCACTGAGCCTCTTTGCCTTGCCGATTGGAAGGTCGGCGGTTTGAAGCCCCGCAACACGGTGAACTCCCATTGCTCTGTCCCAGTTCCTGCCAACCTAGCAGTTCAAAAGCACATCGAAGTGCAAGCAGATAAATAGGTACCACTCCAGCGGGAAGGTAAACGGCGTTTCCGTGCGCCCTGGTTTCCGTCACGGTGTCCTGTTGCACCAGAAGCGGTTCAGTCCTGCTGGCCGCATAACCCAGAAAGCTGTCTGTGGACAAATGCCGGCTCCCTCGGCCTGAAAGCGAGATGAGCGCCGCAACCCCACAGTCGCCTTTGACTGGACTTAACCGTCCAGGGGTCCTTTACCTTTTACTAGGTTATAATTTCCTTAGGATAAAAGAGACCAAGTGCTTATCTAGCTAAGGAGGTTTGGAAGTCATATTGACTTTAAAAGGTTGCGGCTGCTATTATATAATGTGAGAGGCTCAGGAAGCTCTCAGGGCCTTGTCTGTTCCCTGTGTTCATGTTTTCTTTTTACTTGGAAGTTTTAATTTTTAAGAAGTTAGATCTGAGCAAAACTGAGGGCCCCTTTGGGACACAGAGCAGTTCATTGGCAAAAACGTCTAATACTTAGTGAGTCTGTGGAATGAGCCAGTTGTGTGGCCTCCACCCTTGTAAGGAGACAAAAGGAAGAGTGAAAAAGCTGGGCTTTTGCTGCTTCGGGACAAAAATGCACATTGAAAACCTGCATGCGGGCCATGCAAAGGGAGAGGGGAATTGTACAAAGACGCTTTTGAAACAAAATAAAATGTTTTTTCAAATGTAGCTGTTGTCTTTATGGATCTTTTTTCTTCTAGAGAGATAAAACGTCTTCTCCCTGTTGAGCTGAGGTTACTCACTTCGCTCTAAGGATTCTCCTGTGCTTGGCCAACAAGGGCCAGAGTTTCCCCGAAGAACCCGAAAGGCTGGATGATTTTTATTGCGATATGTTTGTGGAGAGGGGGGCAGAGCGCCCTGCTTCAGAGGAGGATAAGGATGCCAGGAGTCAAGAGTCCACTTACAGGATGGTCCAAAGAGCCAGGTCAGGTCATGTTGGTTTGGGTCAATGAAGCCCAGTCACAGGCCAAGGACATGCAAACGTGGAAATCGGGTTCCCAGCAAGGCGTATGGAAATTGTTCCGGCAGCTTTCCCCAGGACTAAAGGTTTTTATCCATAGGTACAGCTGATTGGCCACCAGAGCTATTTGAGTTGTGTCTTCTCGTGAGGAAGCACCTCTTCACAAGTAGCCCTTTATTCTTGGTGAGGCCCTGGCTTTCAGACGGGCGACTTTTTAGACAAGAAATCTCAGAATCGTAGCTCTGCGAGAAGAATAAGGGGGTCTCTGAAGGACTCTCAGCATCCTTAACAAACATTTCCCAGGATTCCTTGCAGGAAGCCATGACAGCTCAGAGTGGTAGGATGTGCTTTTTAACAGTACAGCGCTATGGGGCCTGAGTATGCAAACACAGAAGGTATGTTTTGGGGTTTTTTGTTTTGTTTTAAGAGGAGGGGCCAAATGGTTCAGGAGTGCCTAAAACAAAACTGGCGTTGAACTTGACTACGTAGTTGGAAGAAGCCCCGGATAAAATGAAATGTAAGGTAAGAAAATATATTTGTTTATTGAAAACTGGCTCAAAGAGTTGGATTGTAGAAGCTTCTCAGCTCTAATTCTACAGTAGAAAAGAGTGTAACCAGGGATGTGTGACCTTGCTGCGATTCTGCAAAGGTGCACACAAAAGCTGGAGAATGCAGCCACAGAATTCAGCTCCCTAAGAATCTCAGGGTTCACTGGGAAGGTCACAGAATTCTGCCAGAAGCGGAAACGGACATTTCCGCAATTTGCGCGTTCTTCGGAGGTCGGGAACGGAAAATCACACAAGCTAATACAAGTGGTATTTTGCTCTTTTTAAATAATTTTTATTAAGTTTTCTATTTTACAATTTAAAATATTCATTAAACAACCTTAAAATGTCAGTGACTTCCCTTCTTCTCTTTCCATGGTTCATTTTACATATCATAAATCCCTGCATTTTTACAGAAACCATACCATTCAGTATTCCATTATTATATCCATTAAAACTTATTTACACTGTTGAATTTATCTTAATGCTGCCAGCATTTTCAAGCGTACATAATTTCCCCCCATATATTCAATAAACTTTTTCCAATCTTCTCTAAACGTATGTTCTTCTTGTTCTCTTATTCTATATGTTAAGTCCGCAAGCTGCACATATACCGTCAGCTTAAGTTGCCATTCTTCTTTAGTTGGGACCTTGCTCGTTTTCCATTTTTGGACTAACAAAACACGGGCTGCAGTAGTGGCATACAAAAATAGTCTTTTTTGACACCTGAGAATTTCCATCTGAATTATCCCCAACAAAAAGGACTCTGGGGTGTTTTTTTGGAAATGTACTTTTAAACATTTTTTTCCAATTCATTATAAATTTTTTCCCATACAAGTGGTATTTGCAGTGATTTATTTTTTTTTAGTCCACAAACATTACATAAATAATTATCTTCTGATGCTTCCCTTCCGTTGAGATTAATTACACAATTCATTACATTACTTCCAGGCTACAGCAAACAGCGAAAGAAGGTGTGTTTTTTCCAGAAGCCGAACTGTAGCAGAACAGGAACACCACTTACAGATAGGTAGCCGTGTTGGTCTGCCATAGTCAAAACAAAATTTTTTCCCTTCCAGTAGCACCTTAAAGACCAACTAAGTTAGTTCTTGGTATGAGCTTTCGTGTGCATGCACACTTCTTCAGATACACTGAAACAGAAGTTGCCAGATCCTTCTATATAGTGAGAAGGTGGGGAGGGGTATTACTCAGAATTTTTTTTGTTTTGACTGGCAGACCAACACGGCTACCTATCTGTATATACATGACAAAGCCATTTTTCACCTTCTCACCCCTTGCTTTTTCCTGTAAGACCTATTGCAGTCCTTAAGAGTCGTCAACAGGCTCATCACAGCTATCTGCCAATCACCCATTCCCACCACCCTTCTGAGTAATACCTTCTGTTTCAGTGTATCTGAAGAAGTGTGCATGCACACGAAAGCTCATACCAAGAACTACCGTATTTTTCGCTCTATAACACGCAGATTTTTTCTCCTAAAAAGGAAGGGGAAATGTCTGTGCGTGTTATAGAGCGAATGTGTGGTCCCTGGAGCCAAAAAATCAAGCAAAAGTCAAACCGCGAGTCACGGAGAAGGGAAACCTGAAAAGAGGAAGTGACAGCTTTCCTGCATTCTGCCTCAGGGTCTTACTGCCCACCCTCCTCTGTTTCGTTGCTGTGATTGCTGAAACGGAACAAAGAGCAGGGAAAGCCCCTCCCCTCCAGGCAAGCAGAGTGTCGCTCTTTCTAATTCCTCTCTGTGCTCCGGTGCTGCTGGGGGAGAGGGAGAGAGAGTGGGGGAGGGAGAGGGAGAGTGGGGGAGGGAGAGGGAGAAAGAGGGGGGGAGGGAGAGAGAGGGAGAGGGAGAGAGAGAGAGAGAGAGAGAGAGAGAGATGGCTGGCTTGGGGGGGAACTTTTGCCTTTCTTTCCTCCCACTGGTTAAATCCCTCTCCAGCATTCTTAGCCAGCTGCTTCTCTGCCCTCTCATGTCCCTTCTTTGTTTTTCCTTCGCTCCCCACTTAAAATGTGGTTACAAAGCATAGATCAACATGGATCCTCAGGATCTTTGCATTGGGTCACCCCAAATTCACCATCAGATCACATAGCATGTCCATGGCTACAGCCTGCACCAAAAAAAGCACGCACCCACTGTTGCCTGGGGCTGCAATGGTGCAAAAACATGGTTAAAAAGCATGGATCCACATGGATCCTCAGGATCTTTGCATTGGGTCACCCCAATTCACCATCAGATCACAAAGCATGTCCATGGCTACAGCCTGCACCAAAAAAAGCACGCACCCACTGTTGCCTGGGGCTGCAATGGTGCAAAAATGTGGTTACAAAGCATGGATCCACAGGGATTCTCAGGATCTTTGCATTGGGTCACCCCAAATTCACCATCAGATCACATGTCTGTGGCCACAGCATGAAGCACAAAAATGATACATCCACTGTTTCATTCAGAATGTTTTTTCCCTTGTTTTCCTCCTCTAAAAACGATGTGCGTGTTATGGTCAGGTGCGTGTTATAGAGCGAAAAATACGGTAACTTAGTTGGTCTTTAAGGTGCTACTGGAAGGAACACCACTGTTTGAGACGAACCCAGGACAGGACAAAAATCACTGCCTTTCCCTGCCCAACCGAGCTTTCATTTGGGAGTTTCTAGCCCTCGTGACTGCAAAGAAATATACTCGAAAACATGTGGGCAATGTCGGACAAAACCTCAAATTTTTTCCACCTTCGCCACATTAAGCAGTTGGTCCCTTACCTTTCCCGCCCCGACCTGGCCACAGTGATTCCATGTGATGGTCACCTCCAGGCTTGACTACTGTAATTTACTCTACCCTTGAAAATGTCCCAGAAACTCCAGCGGGTGCAGAATGCTGCAGCGAAGCTCCTTACAGGGTCCCTGCCATGGAAGCATATACACCCAGTGCTTTACCAGTTGCACTGGCTCCCGGTGGAATACAGGCTCAGATTTAAGGTGCTGGTTTTGACCTTTAAAGCCCTTTGTGGCTTAGGGCCCTCGTATTTACGGGACCGCCTCTCCTGGTATGGCCCGCAGAGGACCTTAAGGTCCACGAACAACCATAGTTTAGAGGTCCCGGGCCCTAAGGAAGTCAGATTATCTTCCACCAGGGCCAGGGTCTTTTCAGTGATGGCTCCGACCTGGTGGAATGCCCTGTCCCATGAGACCAGGGCCCTGCGGGATTTAACTTCCTTCCTATTTCGCCTGGTTTCAATTTGACTTATTACAAGGAAGCTTCCTTACGATCCACTCTGCCTAACTCTTGCATGCTGATTTCTGTATGCTGGTGTTACGGCCTTAATGTTCGTTCCTATCTAAGGAAGCCAGACTATCCTCCACCAGGGCCAGGGCCTTCTCAGTGATGGCTCCGACCTGGTGGAATGCTCTGTCCCACGAGACCAGGGCCCTGCAGGATTTAACTTCCTTCCTATTTCGCCTGGTTTCAATTTGAACTTAGCCTGATCTTATATTCCCCTTCCTTTCCTTTTTATGAAGATTACCCGCTCTGGGATCCCACAGCTCATTCTCCCCTGGTCTCCTCGCTGGCCCAAATAGGACTAATTTAGCCAGCCAGCCCTGGTGATCATCTAATGTTTATTGGGTGGGTTTCCCCCCTAAATTGATTTTTGAATTCTGAATTTATTGTTCTTCACGTTTTATACTGTATTTTATGCTGTTTTTCGTTGCATCAGTGAAGTGTTTTAAATTTGTTGTTCGCCGCCCTGAGCCCGGTTTTCTGAACCGGGAAGGGCAGGGTATAAATAAAAAATTATTATTATTTATTATTATTAAAGCAGAGGAGGAATTGCTGAGAGATGTCCAGCAGGCCGAGGAAGGATGGACTCAACAAACCTTTGACTAAGACTGCATGAGGCCCGCTGCTGACCGCAGATACTGGGGGGAGGGAGTTGGGCTTTTCTGAAGCTTATTCAGAAATTGCTTGGTGCCCGGAATTGCTTTTTCTTAAGCTTTCCCTTACCTTTCCCGCCCCGACCTGGGCACAGTGATCCATGCGACGGTCATCTCCAGGCTTGACTACTGTAATTCGCTCTACGCGGGGCTGCCCTTGAAGCTGTCCCAGAAACTCCAGCGGGTGCAGAATGCAGCAGCGAGGCTCCTCACAGGGTCTTTGCCATGGGAGCATATTCACCCAGTGCTTTTCAAGCTGCACTGGCTCCCGGTGGAGTACAGGGTCAGATTTAAGGTGCTGCTTTTGACCTTTAAAGCCCTTCACAGTCTAGGACCCTCGTACCTACGGGACTGCCTCTCCTGGTATGCCCCACGGAGGACCTTAAGGTCCATAAATAGCAACACCCCAGAGGTCCTGGGCCCTAAGGAAGTTAGATTAGCCTCAACCAGAGCCAGGGCCTTTATTTTTGTTTTTAAGTTGTAATCATTCTTCTTGTTTTTATTATTGCTTGTAAGCCGCTCTGAGCCTGGCCTTGGCTGGGGAGGGCGGGATATAAATAAAAAATTATTATTATTATTATCATCACAGAGAGGGCAAGAAGAAAGGGGTCCACCCACTTTACACTTTTTGCTTGCTCTCTTGCAAACGGGACCTCCATGCCTTTCCCCCCTCCCTACTCAGTGGGAAAGAAGCAGTTTGGTCTACACACATCCAGCCCTGTCCCCCATCACCACCCCCTATTAAGTCCCCAAATGCCGTACAGGGGAAAGCAGCGGGGAGAGAGGGTCACAACTCGTTGGCCTGCTCCAGGACCCCCTTGCTGGGCTGGCCAGACTCTGCCCAGGCCGTGGCTGCCAAGCTGTGCCCGACGTGTTCCCCGGGGCCTTCAAGTCCCTCCAAGTGCGAGTAGGCGACCTCGTGCAAAGGCTCGGTGCCATTGCTCACCACGGCCTCTCCTGCGTCGTGGTGCCTTGACAAGACGTGGTGCCTTACGACCAGGTTTTTGAGGGTTCCATCCTGCTCCGTGTGGCCTTTGTGGGCGTATTGGGTCCAGAGGGTTTTCTCGGGCTCTTTGGAGCTCTGGTCGGCTTCCTTTGCCATGGGGTAGGCAACCCTAGAAGAAGCGTCGTTGTTGAGGGACCTGGAAAAAACTGGGAAGAGGGGGGGAAAGGCAAGGCATGAGCGCCATGAGGGGCACATGGGCTCAAATATTCAGCGGGGCTCAGAGATTGAGGGGTCTGCCTTTCAGAGAAGCATAGAATCGTATGATCTACTCCTGTGGCGTTCCAAAGCAAAGGAAGGATTAAAGGTACAGTGGTGCCTCGCAAGACGAAATTAATTCGTTCCGCGAGTTTTTTCGTCTTGCGATTTTTTCGTCTTGCGAAGCACGGTGTCAGGAAAGTTTTGGAAAAGCTTCAAAAATCACCAAAGTCTTCAAAAACCTCAAAAAAGGCTACCACACCGCGTGCTATGAGTTGCTCCTCGAAGTCAAGTCGCAACTGTATTAACGGTTTTAAGAAAAAGGAAACAAACTTGCAAGACGTTTCCGTCTTGCGAAGCAAGCCCATAGGGAAAATCGTCTTGCGAAGCAGCTCAAAAAACAAAAAAACCCTTTCGTCTAGCGAGTTTTTTGTCTTGCGAGGCATTCGTCTTGTGAGGTACCACTGTAAAGGTACCCCTGATCATTAGGTCCAGCCGTGGCCGACTCTGGGGTTGCGGCGCTCATCTCGCTGTCTTGGCCGAGGGAGCCGGCGTACAGCTTCCGGGTCATGTGGCCAGCATGACTAAGCCGCTTCTGGCGAACCAGAGCAGCGCACGGAAACGCCGTTTACCTTCCTGCCAGAGTGGTACCTATTTATCTACTCGAACTTTTTGGTGTGCTTTCGAACTGCTAGGTTGGCAGGAGCAGGGACTGAGCAACGGGAGCTCACCCCATCATTGCGGGGATTCGAACCGCCGACCTTCTGATCGGCAAGTCCTAGGCTCTGTGGTTTAACCCACAGCGCCACCCGCGTCCCTTCCTGGCCCTTAAGATCTATCAAACTACATCAAGAAACTACCTGCTATCTTTTATGGCTCAGGATGCCTGATGAAGCCACTGGCCTGTGTTCAGAATGCTGATATGTGCCTGTCAGGCGTAGAAAATGAACAGTAGAGAAAATGGCCAGAAATGCAGAGGCTTGTGGGATTTGATCAGAAATTATTGTCAATGAATCGAACCCAGTCAACGTCATATTTTCATAACGGACACAATGGCTTGATGCATACAGTGGTACCTCGGGTTAAGTACTTAATTTGTTCCAGAGGTCCGTTCTTAACCTGAAACTGTTCTTAACCTGAAGCACCACTTTAGCTAATGGGGCCTCCCTGCTGCCGCCGCGCCGCCGCCATGTGATTTCTGTTCTCATCCTGAAGCAAAGTTCTTAACCCGAGGTAATATTTCTGGATTAGCGGAGTCTGTAACCTGAAGCATATGCAACCTGAAGCGTATGTAACCCGAGGTACCACTGTAATCCTATTTGGGCCAGCGAGGAGACCAGGGGAAAATTAGCTGTGGGATCCCAGAGTGAGTATTCTTCATAAAAAGGGGAGGGGGGTACCACTGTATTTTATAATTCCTCATAGTAATCCCATCTGATCCTCACACTCTGGATATTTGCACTCCTACAACTCCAAGCCCCCTGCAATGTGGGAATCTCAACGAAAGCATCCCTGACAGATGGCCACCCAACCTCTGCTTAAAAACCTCCAATGAAGGAGAGTCCACCACCTCCCAAGGGAGTCCATCGCCCTGCCAAACAGCTCTTCCCATCAGGTAGGTGGCTATCCTGTCGCCTCTCACGTCTTCTGTTTCCCAGGCTAAACATACCTGACTCCCTCAACCATGCCTCATAAGGCTTGGTTCCCAATCCCTGTATTACCGTATTTTTCGCTCTATAAGACGCGCCCAACCATAAGACGCACCTAGTTTTTAGAGGAGGAAAACAAGAAAGCAACGCAAAGCCTCTTGAGCGAAGAGGCTGGAGCGCTTCCGCTGCGCTCAAGAGGCTTTGCGTGGCTATCCCTAAACAGTGAGAGGGAGCGCTGCACAGCGCTCCCTCTGGCTGTTCTGGCTTCTGGGATAGCTGCGCAGCCTGCATTCGCTCCATAAGACGCACACACCTTTCCCCTTACTTTTTAGGAGGGAAAAAGTGCGTCTTATAGAGCGAAAAATACGGTACATTGAACTTATCTGTAATCATTTGGAAAATGTCTAAAGAAATAATTGGCATGCTTCCCGGATTGGAATGGAGTCGGAGGAAACTGCGCTGATAAAAAGACAGTTGGAAAAATATATACTAACAAAGCTGTATTTGACGGATGAAAGTACATGATGTTTGACATGATTGAGAATCGTGGACTCGGGGACGGAGAATTACAAAGCGTCAAAATCGAGATGTGGAAAATAGAGAAACAATGAGGAGAGAAAGGACTGAGATGTGGAGATATGCTTCAGAGATCCAGACCGTGGGGAGCTCCGAAAAATTAATAATTATAATTTGGACTATAATTTGGTCTTTTTTATTTTAGTTTTTTATTTAAATTGGAGTATTATGATTGGATATATTAATTGGATGTTTTTTTATTGGAAAATCAATAAAAAATGATTTTTTAAAATAGAAATAGTTGGCATAAGGCTTGGTCTCCAGGCCCTTGACCATCTTGGAACTTGAAATAATAATAATAATAATAATAATAATAATAATAATAATAATAATATAAAAAAAATACCACCTCGCCCATCTGGCTAGGTTTCCCCCCATCCTCTGCTGAAAAACCTCCAATTATTTGGAAGCTCCAAATTAGGTATGTTTGCCATTAAATATGTACTGAATCATTCCATCCCCAATACCTAGCTACTGAACACAAAACAAGATGTTCCGTGCATCAAATATTCAGTACCTCTGGCAATTCACTGTGTGTATGTGTGTGCTTGTCAGCCACTCATTTTCACCCAACCCATCGCTCACCTCTCACAGGTACGAAGTCTCCTTCCAACTCGGCTTTGTTGCGAGTGAAAGGTCTGATGGAGGGGAAGACGATCAGGGCAAAGGAAAGCAGCAAGACCTGAAAGGGGTGGGGGGCAGAAAGTAGAGTCAGGTGTCCGTCTTAAAAGGTAAAGGACCCCTGACCGGTTAAGTCCAGTCGCAGACGACTCTGGGGTTGCGGAGCTCATCTCACTTTCAGGCCGAGGGAGCCGGCGTTTGTCCGCAGACAGCTTTCCGGGTCATGTGGCCAGCAGGACTAAACTGCTTCTGGTGCAATGCGACACCGTGACGGAAACCAGAGCGCACATAAACACCATTTACCTTCCCGCCAGAGCGGTACCTATTTATCTATTTGCACTGGTGTGCTTTCAAACTGCTAGGTTGGCAGGAGCTGGGACAGAGAAACAGGAGCTCAGCCTGTTGCGGGGATTCGAACCGCCGACCTTCCGATCGGCAAGCCCAAGAGGCCCAGTGGTTTAGTCTTAGTCATGCCCATTAACACAGGCCAACTCTTGAGTAGGACTTGGAGCCCAGCAATCATTGAAGGGTCTCACGGGGTCTCTCCCCATCATTGGCCCTGGCTGCACAGGCTCATTCAAGCCTAGACTCGTCCCAAAACCTGTCTTGAAAAGAGGCAGCGGGGAGGGGGAATAGACAAGCTTCTTCCACACCCACATGACACCCCCTCACACACACACACTACCACGTACCGCAACACAAGTGCTTGTTTGGGCTGCCTTGCCGCTTGACTGCATCACCAGTCCCTGGAGTTTCTTCAGTTGCTGCAGGAGCGACCTGGGAAGAAATTAGGTGGTGTTATGTAGTGAGTTGAATAGGATCCAAATTGCAGCAGTCTGATTGGTCCTAGAACAATAGGATCCAGAAGGCAGCAGTCTGATTGGTCCGCAGGAGCCACCCAATCCGACTCCAGGTGGAAGTGAATCTGCAACCTGATTGGCCTACAGGAGAATCCTGGAACTAGCCAATCACGTGGGGCCCATTGTGTAAATAATGTATATAAAGCAGACATTTCGGGGGAACTTCCATTCCTCACTACTATGAGCTGAGTAAAGAGCATGAAATCCACACTCGACTCCGGGTATATTTCAGGTGGATATCCAGGGATGGGTGTGTTTCTGTTTCTTGCAGCCAAATTGTCCAGGAAAAAGTCAGCGCTCTCCGATAACGGCTGTGCGGCTTCGCTCCGCGGAAGAAGCAGTCACTCACAGCACCACGCCACTCTCCCCGCTTTGCTCCGGAGCCCAAAAAAAGGGTTCCTTTGCAGATTGGGGGGGCGCTGAAGGTGCCCACTGAGTCCCAAGCTCACAGGCTTGACCCATCTGTGATTTTTAGATGGGTCCCCGCTTCGCCGCAGCGGTCAGACCTGATCCCACGGAGCTAGTCCCTCAGAGAGCAGAGGGAATCCGCCATTATCGCTGGCGCTAACCCGGAAGTGCAGTCCGCCACACGTCCTACATCTGTGCAGGTACAGATGTCTCGCGGTCGTTCTTCATTCACCACCACCACCACCCCTGCGAGCAATTGCTTCCCGGTTAAAAAACAAAACTAAAACACCACCATGGAAGCAGGAAACGACTTACAAGTTCTGCTTCTCCAAGTGAACGACTTTCCTTTGCAGCTCCTGGTTCTGAGCCGTGCAGGCGGACATCCTGGAGGACGGCAAAGAGGGTGAGTAGGAAAGGATAGCAAGAAGCCCAGCCACCCCATAAAAGTTCCGTAAAACTTAAAACGTCCTGTTGGCTGAGAAAACGAGGCGGCAAGATCTATGCACGAGGAGCAGAGAGAACGGAGCGTAATGCTTCCATTGGTGCCAGCGGCAAATTCCCTTTCCAATGTGTTGTAAACAAAAATTGCCCTTTCCCCTTTCCAAGAGCCCATATAGAGTCCTTACATAGGTTCCCTATTGGTAGGAGGAAATAACAGAGGCCAACCAGAGAATATTGAGAAGCAAAGCAGCTAGTAAGCCTGATCTTTATTGATCTGTTGCAACAGGGTGCTCCCCTCACACGCAGGAGAGAGGAGGGACCCACAAAAATGGCATGCAAGGCCTTATAAAGACTTTTGAAATTGCCACCCTGTAGATCAAGACCACCCCCAGAAACATCATACATACATCACAGAAGGGGTGTAACCTAAGACCACTCCTCAGATACATCACACCTACATCACAGAAAAGCGGTCTAAAACAGAAATTTGAATATTGTTTTTCTCCTGTCCTTGTTTATCTCCTGTCTGGCAGGTTACTTGATTGGATTGCCTGGGGAGCCTGGCCAGTCTTTTGTAATGGATAAATACTTAGTTCCTGGGCCAGGTCACAGGCTCACACCCTATTCAATCACAGACACACCCTTAAGACAGGATTTGTGAAGGAAAAGACAATGGGGAGGCTTTTCCATTTTCCTTTGACGTTGCAGAGAAAACATTTGGTCGGTTTGGGACAGTTTGGGAATCAAAATGGTTCCAGGTTGGTCTTCCTGCGCTGATCTCCTTATGTGCTTGGTTGGTACACTTAGGAACATTTAACATATATCTAAGACCTCAAAATTCCTATCACAAATGCAAGCGACAACTTCGCAGGAGGGGTTTTCGTCAGAACTGCAGCTAGGGAGTGGCAGATTGGTCCATCTGGGTCTCTGTCTGAATCAGAGGATCGGGGAATGCTTTCTCAGGCAGATCAGCTCCTCTCTGATGAGGAGAAGCGGAGAGATTCTAGAATGTACCGTATTTTTCGCTCCATAGGGTGCACCTAGTTTTTTGGGGGGGATAATTTTATTTTTTCCCCCAGCCCCAAAGAGCAAAGAAGCCAAGATAGCCAGTGGGATCCATCCCGTTGGCTGTCTTGGCTTCCTCTTTAGCCACGCACAACCTCTCCAGCCGGAAGAGGCTGCACGCGGCTTCCTTCTTAGCCGCGGGGCTGGGGCGGGGGAAGCCCGAGCTTCCCCCAACCCCAACCCCCAGAACAGGTCCGGGAGCAGAGGCACAGTTGTGCAGCCTTGCCACCACTCCCGGAGCTTGCAGGCTGGGGGAGCGCTCCGCAAGCTTGCGGATAGCTGTCCTAAGACCAGGGTGCGCAGCGCTGCGCTCCCCGGTCTTCGGGCTGCAGGCTGCTATCCACAAGCCTTCGGAGCCCGGCGGGAGTTCCCGCCGGGCTCCGCAGGCTTGCGGATAGCTTCCTGAAGCCTGGAGAGCGAGAGCCTGCATTTGCCCCATAGGACGCACACACATTTCCCCTTCATTTTTGGAGGGGGAAAAGTGTGTCCTATAGAGCGAAAAGGGACGCAGGTGGCGCTGTGGGTTAAAGCCTCAGCACCTAGGACTTGCCGATCGAAAGGTCGGCGGTTCGAATCCCTGCGGCGGGGTGCGCTCCTGTCGTTCGGTCCCAGCGCCTGCCAACCTTGCAGTTCGAAAGCACCCCCGGGTGCAAGTAGATAAATAGGGACCGCTTACTAGCGGGAAGGTAAACGGTGTTTCCGTGTGCGGCTCTGGCTCGCCAGAGCAGCGATGTCACGCTGGCCACGTGACCCGGAAGTGTCTGCGGACAGCGCTGGCTCCCGGCCTCTTGAGTGAGATGGGCGCACAACCCTAGAGTCTGTCAAGACTGGCCCGTACGGGCAGGGGTACCTTTACCTTTACCTTTTATAGAGCGAAAAATACGGTACATATCTAGAATGTATAGGCTTCTAGAATGGGAAGTGAAAGATGGAAGAGGTGAAAGAAGGAATAATTAAGTGGGCGAAAGATTTTGGTAAAAATATCCAACTACTGGCATGGGAAAGATTATGGAATAAAGAATGGAAATTTACAGCCTGTTATACACAAAAGTAAAATCTTTTGAAGACGTTTTACAGGTGGTATATAACTCCCAGCAAATTATCCAAAATGTATAAAACGAGATCTAATACATGCTGGAGGTGTAAACAGGCAGAAGGGACACTCTTTCATATGTGGTGGGGTTGCAAAAAAAGTAAGAATTTTTGGAGTATTATATATGAGAAATAAAAAAATATTTAATCAAAATTTCATAAAGAAACCAGAAACCTTCCTCTTAGGCATTTTAGATTCAGATATTCCAAATGAAAAAAAAAGAATATTCTTATATGCTACAACAGCAGTAAGAATATTAATTGCCAGAAATTGGAAAGAAGAATTCGTACCAACAAAAGAAGAATGGCAGGATAAATTATTTGAATATCTTGAACTGGCAAAAATGACGGTGACAATTGGGAGACAGCCAAACCAAAAGTTCAAAAAGGAGTGGGAAATTTATAAAGAATATTTAAAAAACAACAACAGTGCCCTCAAGTTAAAACCTGGACATGCTTTGATTAATTTTCGCAAACCACAATATGGATTATAAGTATGGTATTCAGATAACAGAAGAAATGGCGAAACGATTAAAGAAGCAGTTTATTAAACAGATAAGACAGACCCACTTTGAGGAAGATGGAAGTCTATTGGGGAAGATAAGGAATTGGGAATTAAGAATATGGTGGCAAAAGTTATTTTGTAAGAACATATGGATTTATGTATGTATGTGGGGGTTTTTTGTTATCATTTTATCATTTTTGTTAATTTCTTGTGTGTGTTTGTTAAGTAAGAAAACTAATAAAAAGCATATTGGGGGGGAAAGAAAGAAAGAAATTTAGGAAACCATAGAAAGAGGAGGAAGGAAGTCAAATTTTAGGGTGTCAGATTGATTGTAAAACTAACGAAATGTATAAATTTGAAAAGTATAAATAAAACTGAACTGAACACTAAACTCAAAAATTTCAACTTTCACATCTACTTTCCCCCTTCCTTCTCAGACTATGAATAAATTCTGCAGGAAGAGGGAGCAGAAAGATGACGTACCGGCTTTCCAGTCCGTCAATATACTCTTTCTTCTTCTTCCGACTTTCCTGCGCCGACTGCTTATTCCGGATCTTTCGGCGAATCTTCTTGAGGACTCTCTCCTCATACTGCAAGGTGCAAAGGAAACAGCTTAACAGCTGGATTCTAGTCATGGGGCCACTAACTAGATTTTTATTTTATTTTTTCTGCAGCCGGCTTAAGGTAGGCATGGGAAAATATGTCCACTTCAATTTCTCGATTCCCCCGCTTTTCTGTACTGCGTTTCTATATGGGTTTGTGAATTAACTCGTGGAAATTCACAGACAGTGGGAGAGGGATGCAAAGGCCCTTTCTCTCCCAGTTCCAGCTTGGCGTGATACTCGGGTGTAATGATCTCAGGCAGGCAAGCAAACTCCGATAATAAATTAACGAGTCTCTGGAAGTTTTGTGTACGTTTATTTACAACTTGCGGGAACGCGGGTGGCGCTGTGGGTTAAACCACAGGGCCTAGGACTTGACGATCAGAAGGTCGGCTGTTCGAATCCCCGCAATGACGGGGTGAGCTCCCGTTGCTCGGTCCCTGCTCCTGCCAACCTAGCAGTTCGAAAGCACGTCAGAGTGCAAGTAGATAAATAGGTACCACTCCGGCGGGAAGGTAAACGGCGTTTCCGTGTGCTGCTCTGGTTTGCCTGAAGCGGCTTAGTCCTGCTGGCCACATGACCCGGAAGCTGTACGCCGGCTCCCTTGGCTAGTAAAGCGAGATGAGCGCCGCAACCCCAGAGTCGGCCACGACTGGGCCTAATGGTCAGGGGTCCCTTTACCTTTACCTATTTACAATTTACATCATGGGTAGGTAAACTAAGGCCCAGGGGCCGGATCCGGCCCAATCGCCTTCTCAATCTGGCCCCCAGACGGTCCGGCAATGAGCATGTTTTTACATGAGTAGAATGTGCCCTTTTATTTAAAATGCATATCTGGGTTATTTGTAGGGCACAGGAATTCGTTCATTTTTGTTTTTATTTTCAAAATATAGTCCGGCCCCCCACAAGGTCTGAGGGACAGTGGACCGGCCCCCTGGTGAAAAAGTTTGCTGACCCGTGATTTACATCCAGAGAGCAGCTCTGGGCCTGCCGCCCTTAGCTACGAGTTGGTCACTCTGAGTTTCTGCCCCGTCACAGCACGAAGGGCGCCAAAGTCCAGTCCTTCCTCTCTTACACTTCCGTTGCATTAACCCTTTCAGATCTTCTGGTTCGAGAAGGTGGGTTAACCACACACGCACACACACACACTATCAAACGAAGATCCCTCTAAACCATGAGTATTCAACCTTTTTATACCTACCACCCACTAATTCATCTTTCTTGATGGTGAAAGTTCCTTACCGCCCACCAGTGTTCGATGGAAGGAGGATTCAGCTTGTGCCGTAGAACCCCACACCACCCACCTAGAATCCTGAAACGCCCACTAGTGGGCGGTAGGGACCAGGTTGACAACCCCTGCTCTAAACACTGCCTGCCTCCTGGTTGCATAGCAACCTCCTCAATGTCATCTATCTCCTCCCCTCCTTCTGCCCATGAGCTTTCCGAGTCTGGAAACTCTTGGTGAAGAAGGGCCGAACCAGCCCACTCCTGCTCTGGCTGTGGCTGCAATTCCTCGTCTCCCTTTGTACAGGCATTCCTTCACTCCAGAGTCGGACTCTACCCAGGTGTTCGATTCAGCCACATCCCTGACATCAGGTGAGGCAGGCAGGTGGGACAAGGAGTGCCTCTGGTCGGGATGGCAGCTGCAGAGGTGCCCCCATATATATATATTTTTGTGCCCATGGCAATTGCCTTGGTAGCCCCCCTTGTCAGGAGTGCCTGCAGGAGCCAGGCCCAGTGACCAATAGGACTTTGCAGGACTGGGGCCTTCCTAAGTTTGTTCTGAAGAGGCAAGGCGCAGCCGCACAGGTGAGGCCGATTGGTAACTCACAGGACCTGGTGGCAAGAGCTGGCAAGGGATATAAGGTCAGCATTTTCCTTCGGCAACACGTTCCCTGCCTCGCTGCGTTTGGCTCCTTGACTCCTTGCTCCTCGGACCCCTGACTTTGTGACTTCTTGATTCTCGGACCCCTGACTTCATGACTCCTTGCTTCCTGACCCTCAGACCCTTGATTTCGTGACTCCTGGCTTCCTGACCCTCGGACCCCTGACTTTGTGACTCCTGGCTTCCTGACCCTCGGACCCCTGACTTTGTGACTCCTGGCTTCCTGACCCTCGGACCCCTGACTTCGTGACTCCTTGCTTCCTGACCCTCAGACCCTTGGCTTCCTGACTCCTGGACCCTCGTTCCTGCTCCCACCCCGCCATCTTGCCCCCGGTCCTGACATCCCCTGCCGGGACGTCGATCGCCCGTGAACCGGACCGTGACACCCCTCCCCCACTACGCCCCTGGGCCAATGGTCCATCTAAGACACAATCCTGTCCTCACAGTGGCTGCCCAGACGCCTGTGCGAATCCTGCAAGCACAACAGCCCTCTCTCCTCCTGCAGTTTCCAGAAATTGAGGCATTCTCATTGAGACATCTGGTTGGCCAATGCAAGAAGAGGACGATGGACCAGATGGTCCAGCCTTTGGCCTGGTGTAGCATTGGGTCTGAAGTTTGCCTCACCTTGGTGAGAGGCAACTGGGTGGGTAGAGTCACTCCTTCCTTGGCCAATAGCTTCTTCTCATCCTCGGTTAGGACCAGTTCCTGGCAGGTCCCGGGGGTTTGTCTCAACAGCGATGGGTTCATGCCTTGCTGGTGCTGCGACATGAGAAAGGGGCACATTAATCAAAGCCGAAGACGGCCGCTTACTAGGTTCTTCAGCAGAAGACAATACATGCACAGTGGCACCTTGGGATGTGAACGGGATCCGTTCTGGAGCCCCGTTCGCATCCCGAACGGAACTGTTATGTACTGAGTTCAATAGGATCCAAAGTGCAGCAGTCTGATTGGTCCTAGAACAATAGGATCCAGAATGCAGCAGTCTGATTGGTCCTAGAACAATAGGATCCAGAATGCAGCAGTCTGATTGGTCCTAGAACAATAGGATCCAGAATGCAGCAGTCTGATTGGTCCTAGAACAATAGGATCCAGAATGCAGCAGTCTGATTGGTCCTAGAACAATAGGATCCAGAATGCAGCAGTCTGATTGGTCCTAGAGCAATAGGATCCAGAATGCAGCAGTCTGATTGGTCCTAGAACAATAGGATCCAGAATGCAGAGGCCGGATTGGTCCTAGAACAATAGGATTCAGAATGTCGCAGTCTGATTGGTCCTAGAACAATAGGATCCAGAATGCAGCAGCCTGATTGGTTCTAGAACAATAGGATCCAAAATGCAGCAGTCTGATTGGTCCTAGAACAATGCAGCAGTATGATTGGTCTGCAGGAGCCACCCAATCCAGCTCCAGATGGAAGTGAATCCACAACCTAATTGGCCTACAGGAGAATTCAGGAATTAGCCAATCACATGCAGCCCATTGTGTAAATAATGTATATAAAGCAGATACTTTGAGGGGACATTCATTCCTCCTCACCACTATGAGCTGAATAAAGAGCATGAAATCCACTTTCGACTCTGAGTATATTTTAGGAACGCAAGACGCGTCAGTGCGTGCACGGGTTGCGTTTCGCCGCTTCCGCACATGCGCGTGACATCATTCTGAGTGTCTGTGCATGTGCGAGTGGCGAAACCTGGAAGTAATGCACTCCGTTACTTCAGGGTTGCCGCGGAGCGCAACTCGAATGCGCTCAACCCAAAGCACATTCAACTCAAGGTATGACTGTACTGTAAAAGCAAACCAGGATTTCTCGGAACCCCTCTGACAGCTTTAGCCTGATTATAATAATAATATTATAATAATTTATTATTTATACCCCGCCCATCTGGCTGGGATTCCCCGGCCCCTCAGGGCGGCTTCCAACCGAATATTAAAAACAATACAACGTCAGACATTAAAAACTTCCCTAAAGAGGGCCGCCTTCAGTTGTCTTTTAAAAGTAAAATAGTTGTTTATTGCCTTGACGTCTGCTGGGAGGGCGTTCCACAGGGAGGGCGCCACCACCGAGAAGGCCCTCTGCCTTTTCCCCTGGAACCTCACTCCTTGCAGGGAGGGAACCGCCAGAAGGCCCTCGGCGCTGGATCCCAGTGTCCGGGCTGGACGATGGGGGTGGAGATGCTCCTTCAGGTATTCTGGGCCGAGGCCGTTTAGGGGCTTTCAAGGTCAGCACCATTGAGAGTCTCACCATCTCACAGCTGTTTGACAGCAGAAGGTCCTTTATGGTCAGGGTGCACGAATTCAGCTGGGGGGCGGCTTGTTCCTGCCTCTCCTCCGGGTAAAATCCTGCCTCCCACATATCTGCAAAAGAGGAAACAAAATGCTCAGAGCTGCTGCATTTAAAAAAAAAAAACGGGGGGGGGGGCATATAAGAAGCTTTTGGCATTACAGTATCACAATGTGGGATCTTTGGAATTTTTAAAAAATTAATTAATTTTATTACCGCCCCCCCCCCAACCAAATAATCGTATATACAACAACTCTGGGGAAGGGCTTGAAGAGGCTCCACCCCCAAAAAATGTTTTTGGCATCATGGTATCACAGCAGGTGGCCTACGAGAGTACAGTGGTACCTCAGGTTACAGACGCTTCAGGTTACAGACTCCGCTAACCCAGAAATAGTACCTCGGGTTAAGAACTCTGCTTCAGGATGAGAACAGAAATCGTGCTGCGGCAGCGGGAGGCCCCATTAGCTAAACTGGTGCTTCAGGTTAAGAACAGTTTCAGGTTAAGAACAGAAACCCAGAACGAATTAAGTACTTAACCCGAGGCACCACTGTAATTGGAGGGGGGTTAAAATGTTTTTAGAAAAAATGAAAATGGTAAAAAATAATAATAATCAGGGAGCAAGCAGTTCGGCAGGAGATCGATAGGAAAAACAGATTTGCAATGGATCCAAACTACAAGAAAGTAGATTCCACCTCAACATTAGGAAGAACTTCCTGACAGTAGAGCTGTTGGACAGTGGAATTTGCTGCCAAGGAGTGTGGTGGAGTCTCCTTCTTTGGAGGTCTTTAAGCAGAGGCTTGACAACCATATGTCAGGAGTGCTCTGATGGTGTTTCCTGCTTGGCAGGGGGTTGGACTCAATGGCCCTTGTGGTCTATTCCAACTCTATGATTCTATGAGATTTATTTATTTTTTAAAGTGCATTAAGATTATTTTTAAATGACCAGTTTTGGAAGGAGGGGCCACAGGTGAGCCATACGTGTTCAGCATACAGAACTCTTATGCTTTCTGCTGCTCCAGAGGGATGGGACTCGAAGCAATGCGTTCAAATACTAGAAAGCAGATTCGGACTAAACATTAGGAAGAACTTTCTGACGGTAAGAGCTGTTTGACCGTGGGCTGGGCTGCTTCGGAAAGTGGTTGACGGGAGGTTTCTAAACGGAGGTTGGGTGGCCATCAGGGACGCGGGTGGCGCTGTGGGTTAAACCACAGAGCCTAGGACTTGCTGATCAGAAGGTCGGCGGTTCAAATCCCCGTGATGGGGTGAGCTCCCGTTGCTCGGTCCCTGCTCCTGCCAACCTAGCAGTTCGAAAGCGTGTCCAAGTGCAAGTAGATAAATAGGTACCACTCTGGCGGGAAGGTAAACAGCATTTCCGTGCACTACTCTGGTTCGCCAGAAGCGGCTTAGTCCTGCTGGCCACATGACCCGGAAGCTGTACGCCGGCTCCCTCGGCCAATAAAGCGAGATGAGCACCGCAACCCCAGAGTCGGCCACTACTGGACCTAATGGTCAGGGGTCCCTTTAACTTTACCTGGGTGGCCATCTGTCAGGGATTCTTTAGCTGCGATCCCTGTCTTGTAGTGGGTTGGACTAGATGACCCTCAGGGAACCCTTCCAACCCTACAATTCTCTGATCCTAAGCAATGCGCTTAACACCAGGTCCTGGAGACCGAGGGCACTGCCCTGGCTGTCCCCGCATTTGGTGTGGGATTCAATCACATACTGACAAGATTCAGGTGATGCAATTAAAATTGGCTGCCAAGGTCTTGGAGGAGGAACCTTCTCCCTCGAAAGGTCAGAGTTTTGAGAGATAAGGAAAGTGACAGGGCCAGGGCAGCGGCTGCTCTGACGCAAAACGGCCATATAATCTCCCTGCAAACAAATCAGGAGAAATAACCCCTCTGGAAGCCCCTGCGATGTCCACTTTCCCTTCTGTTTTTCAGTCTGTTTGCTCTGGTGCATTTTTCACGAAGACGAAAACAAGGTAAAAAAAGACAAGTTCACAGGGTACCCCTCAGCTCGGCTTCTTTCTGGATTTGTAGCCCAAATGAAAAATGAACCCAATGTTCAAGATCTCTTTCTGAGCTTAAATTGGGAGAGGAAGCCTAGCCGTGGAGAGGAGTGATTCATGCAGGTAAGGTAAAAAATATATATGGTAAAGGACTCCTGGACGGAGTCCAGTCAAAGGCGACTCTGGGGTTGCGACGCTCATCTCGCTTTCAGGCCGAGGGAGACGGCGTTTCTCCACAGACAGCTTTCCGGGTCGTGTGGCCAGCGGGACTCAACCGCTTCTGGCGCAACAGGACGGAAACCAGAGCGCACGGAAGCACTGTTTACCTTCCCGCCACAGCAGTACCTATTTATCTACTTGCGCTGGTGTGCTTTCGAACTGCTAGGTTGGCAGGAGCTGGGACAGAGCAATGGGAGCTCGCTCCGTCGCGGGGATTCGAACCGCCGACCTTCTGATCGGCAAGCCCAAGAGGCTCAGTGGTTCAGACCACAGCGCCACCTGGAGGCGGGCTCCTACTCTAAGCAAGGAACAATCGGGACAAAATAAATAAGCAAGGTTTTTGATTGACCATAAGGAAATTGAATAAACGAGGTTTGGAGGAGGAGGAGGGAGAAGACATTTGATTAGTTAGATCTGCAACAATTTTTTTTACAATCACGCGATTTGTTATGAAACAAATAATTCAACGAAACTGATGCAGCTGATCCAGTGATACCAACTTTCCAGTGACCACTCCCCACATCAAATGGGGGCGCCTTTTGCGTGGTCGCACGCAGCCCCCCAGATCCCAGTGCGACTCCTGGTAGTTTGGGCTGGCTTCATCCTCCCCAGGCTGGATACCTGGAGGTCTCCGCCTTCCTCAGCTAATCGCCCAATCCCGCCTGGGGAGGCGTTGCCAGGGGATTGGCCAGGTAAGCAGAGGGACCGTCCTGCCCACACAACAGAAGGTGAATCTCACCTGCAAAGTGGCAGTCGGCTCCAGAGCTTCTCCCACCCTCCCCTCCCTCAGTTAAGCCTTCTTTTGCAGGTTAACCTCTTCTCTACAGGTACGCGGGCGCTGCTACATCAGAGTCAGGGCCGGAAAGGAATTTTGCTTCATTGGCAGGTTTTGCCTTTCCCGTAGCAAAACGTCACAACTTTGGCAGTTTCAGGCCTTGGGCGGAATCGTTTAGTCTATCTTCCTAAATGGGGGGGGGGGCGTGAAGCGGTGACCCATGCCCCCCTTGTGGCAGTGATACCAGGGTTCCCCATTAAAGGGTCTTGAGGGGAGGCATCGGCCATACGCCAAGAGGTTGTCATTGCTCTCCCCTGCGACGGCGGCGTAACGGGAGGCGGGCTCTCTCTGCTTGAACATATGTTCCCCAGAGCCAGCCCAATCCCCACACATTCTGGATAAGCCTGATGTCTCCCAGATTCCCGGCTGGGGACCGGGAAGGATAAACGCCCAGTGCCTAAGCCAAGGTCTCCCTATATTTGAAACTTACCGTATTTTTCGCACCATAGGGCGCACCGGACCATAGGGCGCACCCAGTTTTTTTGGGGGGGGAAATAAAGGGGGGGAAATTATTTTCCCCCCAGGCGCGGGGCTGGGGCGGGGAAGCTCGAGCTTCCCCGACCCCAGCCCCCAAACAGGCAGCTCTCTGCAAGCCGTGGGAGCCCAGCGCTGGCTCCCGCTGCTTGCGGAGAGGTGTGCGAAGCCTGGAGAGCGTGAGGGGTTGGTGCGCACCGACCCCTCTCACTCTCCAGGCTTCAGCGAAAGCCTGCATTCGCACCATAGGACGCACACACATTTCCCCTTCATTTTTGGAGGGGGAAAAGTGCGTCCTATGGTGCAAAAAATACGGTAATAAAGTTGTGGCCAGTTTTAATCCCATAGCATGTTGTCTTGTCAATATTCCGCTCTGGGGTTGGGGGGACTCCGCCTGTCCACGCAAAGCTGTTTACACGCACTGTGGGAAAAGCTGGTCTAGCGAAAGGCGAAGGGGTCACTCACTGAAGTCTATAGACACCTCCGCTTCTCTCAGCTCAGCACCCGGCCCTTTCAGAACCGGGAGGACCCGGCAGGAGTCCTGGTAGACAGGGTAAGCCAGGTCACTGTGTGAGCCTCCGTCAGAGTAGGCCCCCGGGCTGCCCGTCGGCATGTAGTGAGGGGGGCTGTCCAGTTGGTCAGAGCTGGGGTCCTCAGAGATGCCGCTGTCGCTGGCCGCCGGGGACCAGCTCGGGGAGTCGAGGGCGGCATCTGGGGCCCCCAAGATAGAATTGATGAAATCCTCGTTCTCTTGAGCTTTCAGCAAACGCTGTAAAAAGACAGGCAAGTTGTTTAGTCATTTAGTCGTGTCCGACTCTTCGTGAACCCCTGGACCAGAGCGCGCCAGGCACTCCTGTCTTCCACTGCCTCCCGCAGTTTGGTCAAACGGTAGCTTCAAGAACACTGTCCAACCATCTTTGACTGTGTCGACCACAGCAAACTATGGCAGAAATGGGAGCGCCTGATCTGTCTCCTGAGAAATCTCTACGTGGGACAACAAGCTACAGTTAGAACTGGATATGGAACAACTGACCGGTTCAAAATTGGGAAAGGAGTACAACAAGGCTGTATATTGCCTCCCTGCTTATTTAACTTATATGCAGAACTCATCATGCGAAAGGCTGGGCTGGATGAATCCCTAGCCGGAATTAAGATTGCCGGAAGAAATATCAAGAACCTCAGATATGCAGATGACACAACTTGGGTGGCAGAGAGTGAGGAGGAATTGAAGAACCTCTTAATGAGGGCGAAAGAGGTGAGCGCAAAATATGGTAAGGAGTTGGTGAAAAAGGATGCCTGACCTCTCTGTTGGTGAAAGAGCTTTGCCTGGGAACTGTAGTTTAAGGGTGCTGGGTGTTGAATGGAAAACTACAGTTCCCATTTTTCCTTGGGTGGGGCGCCACAGCTGTTCAAATTCATGGTGCTACAGAACTGGGTGGGGGGTGTCCGCCTAAACACTAAAATCAATAAATGCTAGGATTTTGGGGTGATTTGTGATAGGAAGGGAGAATATAAGCTGCAAAGGTATTCCTGGGTAGTCTGGCCAAACTAGGGCTGTTAAGAGAGCCATCGTGGGTGGTAGACAATGGAACTTTTCGCACCAGTTGTGGACTGGAGATTTGGAAGGTTTCCTGGGTAAAACTGCTCTGGGGAAGGGCAAGGGACTTCTGGGAAGAAGGAGGAGGAAAGGAAAGAGAGATCCATCTTGGCGATGAAGGAGTAAGGACTGCCTGCAATGCTTTGGGTCACGTTAAAATCTGGACCCCCTCCATGCAGACTGAGGGTGTAAATAGGCGAATAAACCCTAAAAGCACAAGAGTCTTCGCAGTGTCTTGTGCTCTCCAAAGGGGAGACCCTATGTTGGTGCCTGTTATGTACTGAGTTGAATAGGATCCAAAGTGCAGCAGTCTGATTGGTCCTAGAACAATAGGATCCAGAATGCAGCAGTCTGATTGGTCCTAGAACAATAGGATCCAGAATGCGGCAGTCTGATTGGTTCTAGAACAATAGGATTCAGAATGCAGCAGTCTGATTGGTCCTAGAACAATAGGATTCAGAATGCAGCAGTCTGATTGGTCCTAGAACATTAGGATCCAGAATGCAGCAGTCTGATTGGTCCTAGAACAATAGGATTCAGAATGCAGCAGTCTGATTGGTTCTAGAACAATAGGATTCAGAATGCAGCAGTCTGATTGGTCCTAGAACAATAGGATTCAGAGTGCAGCAGTCTGATTGGTCCTAGAACAATAGCATCCAGAATGCAGCAGTCTGATTGGTCCACAGGAGCCACCCAATCCAGCTCCAGGTGGAAGTGAATCCACAACCTGATTGGCCTATAGGAGAATCCCAGAATTAGCCAATCACGTGGGGCCCATTGTGTAAATAACTTCCATTCCTCCTCACTACTATGAGGTGAATAAAAAGCATGAAATCCACACTCGACTCCGAGTATATTTCAGTGCCTGTGACCCCATGTGCTCTGGCCACTGCTTGGCAGAGAGAGGGGCCAGACATTGGGCTTTTGTGGTGTGGGTGTCGCCCGCAAGAGTGATCCCTGCATTGCAGGGGGCTGGACTGGACCATAGCTGTCAAGCGTCCCTTATTTGGCGGGACAGTCCCTTATCCCAGCGCCATGTCCCGCTGCTGTCCCTTATTGATAAAAAGGTAAAGGTACCCCTGCCCGTACGGGCCAGTCTTGCCAGACTCTAGGGTTGTGCGCTCATCTCACTCTATAGGCCGGGAGCCAGTGCTGTCCGCAGACACTTCCGGGTCACGTGGCCAGCGTGACAAGCTGTATCTGGCGAGCCAGCGCAGCACACGGAACACCGTTTACCTTCCCGCTAGTAAGCGGTCCCTATTTATCTACTTGCACCCGAAGGTGCTTTCGAACTGCTAGGTTGGCAGGCGCTGGGACCGAACGACAGGAGCGCACCCCGCCGCAGGGATTCGAACCGCCGACCTTTCGATCGGCAAGCCCTAGGTGCTGAGGCTTTAACCCACAGCGCCACCTGCGTCCCTGTCCCTTATTGATGATGTCCCTTAAATAAGCTACTGAAGGTATTGGGGCCCTTTCTAGGTCCAGCTGTCCTTTGTCAACAACAAATTGTTGCTTTTTTGTGTGTTGAATATATGCTATATGGTCATTTATGGACCTAATAGGTATCTAAAGCCATTTGCACGCAACAAAATACGTATTTTATCAAAGTAATAGTTGTTCCCTTATTTTGGCTGCTGGTCCCTTATTTTCGAATCTGTAAGTTGACAGCTATGGACTGGACTGACCCTTGGAGATCCCTTCCAACCCTACTGCTCCGTGATTCCATCTCTGCTTCTGATAGGTATTTAGAAGTGAACCAAGATGGCGGCTGTAACAACTTCTCCTCCGTGAACCCTCCTGGATTACAAACCTTTATAGCCTTTTACAGCCTTCTGCAGCCGTCTTTATAGCTGTTTTTATTAGACTTTTAAATTATTTTACCTCTCTTAGAAGTTTTAATTGCTCTATCTCTACTGTTGGCCAATATACGTATCAACAAGGATATTCAAATATTCTGCTGAGAAAGCCTGCTGCTGATTAGAAACGCCGCCTTGAGACTGGGTTATGTCGCTACAAGCTCTTAAACTCACGCTGTCTTCCAGTCCCATCCAAGCTGTCGCCGTTGACCCAATCTCCACGCTGCGCAGGACCCCATCCTGCCGGTCAAAGAGGAGGTCTAGCAGCTCCATGCTGTCAAGGCTGGTGGCAGTCATGTCTGCAAGTTAGAGAGAAAAAAGAGGAGTCTGCAGTGGCCAGAAGCTCAGGACTCTGGGCCACATCCACAGCATTCATCACCACACAGAAATAACAATAACAATTTATTATTTATACCCCGCCCATCTGGCTGGGTTTCCCCAGCCACTCTGGGCGGCTTCCAACAAAATATTAAAAATACAATAAGACATCAGACATTAAAAACTTCCCTAAACAGGGCTGCCTTCAGATGTCTTCTAAAAGTCAGGTACTGTGGTACCTCGGTTCACAAACTTAATCTGTTCCAGAAGTCCGTTCTTAAACCGAAACCATTATTAAACCAAGGTGCCTTTTCCCTAATGAGGCCGCCTGCTGCCGGTGCCCTTCCACTATTCTGCTTCTGTTCTTAGACCGAGGTCAAGTTCGCAAACCGGGACGCTACTTCTGGTTTTGCAGAGTTCTCAAACCAAATAGTTCATAAACAGGGATGTTCTTAAACTGAGGTGCCACTGTAGTTGTTGTATTTCCTTGACATCTGATGGGAGGGCGCCACTACCGAGAAGGCCCTCTGCCTGGTTCCCTGTAACTTCGCTTCTCGCAGTGAGGGAATCACCAGAAGGCCCTCGGAGCTGGACCTCAGTGTCCGGGCTGAACGATGGGGATGGACGCTCCTTCGGGTCTACTGGACCGAGGCCGTTTAGGGCTTTCAAGGTCAGCACCAACACTTTGAATTGTGCTCGGAAACGTACTGGGAGCCAATGTAGGTCTTTCAAGACCTACAACAACAACATATTATTTATACCCCATCTGGCAGCTTCCAACAAAATATTAAAATACAGTAATGCATCAAACATTAAAAGCTTCCCTAAACAGGGCCACCTTCAGATGTCTTCTAAAAGTCTGGTAGTTGTTCTCTTTTACATCTGGTGGGAGGGTGTTCCACAGGGCGGGCGCCACCACCGAGAAGGCCCTCTGCCTGATTCCCTGTAACCTCACTTCTCGCAGTGAGGGAACTGCCAGAAGGCCCTCGGTGCTGGACCTCAGTGTCCAGGTAAAAAAATGGGGGGAGGCCGTTTAGGGCTTTAAAGGGTCAGCACCAGCACTCGGAATTGTGCTCGGAAACGTACTGGGAGCTAATGTAGGTCTTTCAAGACCAGTGTTATGTGGTCTCGGCAGCTGCTCCCAGTCCCCAGTCTAGCTGCTGCATTCTGGATTAGTTGCAGTTTCCGGGTCACCTTCAAAGGTAGCCCCACATAGAGCGCATTGCAGTAGTCCAAGCGAGAGATAACCAGAGCATGCACCACTCTGGCGAGACAGTCTGCGGGCAGGGAGGGTCTCATCCTGCGTACCAGATGGAGCTGGTAGACAGCCGCCCTGGACACAGAACTGACCTGCACCTCCATGGACAGCTGTGAGTCCAGAATGACCCCCAGGCTGTGCACCTGGTCCTTCAGGGGCACAGTTACCCCATTCAGGAGCAACTGCCCTTACATAACTGCTGGATGCTGGCTGCCTATACGCTGCTGATCCTGAAGTGTGCTGATGGCTCTTAAGTATCAGTCGCTGTGATGTTCAGGCTGGATAAAGACTTTGAATTTCCCGAACTACCAGTCAGGCATGTGTCTCTACCGGACTCCTACTCGTGTGTAGGACCCCTGGGATCTCACGCTGTTTGAAGGCTAGGGTGGCATGCAGCAATATGCAGAAAATCAGCAAGTGGTTAAGTGTCCATGTCCCTGGAGTGAAAAGCTTTGCACTTTAAACTGGTGTCTCCCAACCTTGGGTCTCCAGCTGTTTTCGGACTACAAATCCCATCGTCCCTGACCACTGGTCTTGCTAGCTGGGGATGATGGGAGCTGTAGTCCAAAAACAGCTGGAGACCCAAGGGTGGGAAACACTGAGTCTTTAAACTGAGCACTGGAGTTGCTTTAATACCAGGGATCAGCAGACCTTTGCAGCAGGGGGCCGGTCCACTGTCCCTCAGAGCTTGTGGGGGGCCGGACTGTATTTTTTGGGGGGATGCACGAATTCCTATGCCCCACAAATAACCAAGAGATGCATTTTAAATAAAAGGACACATTCTACTCATGTAAAAACACGCTGATTCCTGGACCATCGTGGGCCGGATTTAGAAGGTGATTGGGCCGGATCCGGCCCCTGGGCCTTAGTTTGCCTAGAGGTAAAGGTAAAGGGACCCTGGACCATTAGGTCCAGTCGTTGTCGACTCTGGGGTCGCAGCGCTCATCTCGCTTTATTGGCCGAGGAAGCCGGCCTACAGCTTCCGGGTCATGTGGCCAGCAGGACTAAGCCGCTTCTGGCGAACCAGAGCAGCGCACGGAAACACCGTTTACCTTCCCGCTGGAGCAGTACCTACTTGTCTACTTGCACTTTGACGTGCTTTCGAACTGCTAGGTGGGCAGGAGCAGGGACCGAGCAACAGGAGCTCACCCCATCACGGGGATTCGAACCGCCAACCTTCTGATCGGCAAGTCCTAGGCTCTGTGGTTTAACCCACAGCGCCACCCGCGTCCCTCTTAGTTTGCCTACCCATGCTTTAAGTCTGTCCACATTAAAAGTCTAGCTGCAGCATTTTTTTGTACCAGCTTGGGCTTGTGGACTAGGCACATGGCATTCATTGAGTCCCAAGGATGCAAGTCCGTGAATCACCCCACGGCCAGCCTTCCCCTGTCCAGGAATGTCTGTCATTGACGCACCAGCTGGTAAAACGCACTCTTCCTGAGCCTCAAGTGACAAAGGCAGATCCAAAGGCCACCCTCAAACTCCATTCCTGTTCTCCAGGGAGATGTTCCATTTCCCAAAGTCTTTACCACTGGAGCCACTCATCCTCAGTGCCTCCCTCTTCCCGGGGTTCGAGCTCAGTATATTAAAAAGGTAAAGGGGACCCCTGATCATTAGGTCCAGTCATGGCCGACTCTGGGGTTGCGGCACTCATCTCGCTTTACTGGCCGAGGGAGCCGGCGTGCAGCTTCCGGGTCATGTGGTCAGCATGACTAAGCCGCTTCTGGCGAACCAGAGCAGCACACGGAAACGCCGTTTACCTTCCCACCTATTTATCTACTTGCACTTTTGACGTGCTTTCGAACTGCTAGGTTGGCAGGAGCAGGGACCGAGCAACGGGAGCTCACCCCGTCACAGGGATTCGAACCGCCGACCTTCTGATCGGCAAGTCCTAGGCTCTATGGTTTAACCCACAGCGCCACCCGCCCTCATCTGGCCAAGAGAGCTGGCATTTGTCCTCAGACAGTTTTTCCGGGTCATGTGGCCAGCAGGACTAAGCCGCTTCTGGCGAACCAGAGCAGCGGACGGAAACGCCATTTACCTTCCCGCCAGAGTGGTACCTATTTATCTACTTGCACTTTTGGCGTGCTTTTGAACTGCTAGGTTGGCAAGAGCTGGGACTGAGCAACGGGAGCACACCCCATCGTGGGGATTCGAACCGCCAACCTTCTGATCAGCAAGCCCAAGGCTCAGTGGTTTAGACTACAACGCCACCTGCGTCCCTGCGTTTACTAGTATAAAAACCCCTTAACGCTTGAGGCCAGTTTATGTGAAAGATCACCTTACTGACTTCCAGATGTGTCCAGTCGACTACTTCAATCTGAGGAACTGGCGCAGGTGCCAGTAATAATTATTCTGCACTTGTAAAATACCAACATTTTAACGTGGCAGTGCCTACACTTTGGAACTCCCTGCTTATTGACATCAGGCAAGTGTCTTTGCTTTGCTCTTTTCAGTGCCTGCTTAAAACGTTTTTTTATTTTTTTTAAGGCAAGCCTACCCAGACATGCAGGGACGCGGGTGGTGCTGTGGGTTAAACCACAGAGCCTAGGACTTGCCGATCAGAAGGTTGGCAGTTCGAATCCCCGCGACGGGGTGAGCTCCCGTTGCTCGGTCCCTGCTCCTGCCAACCTAGCAGTTTGAAAGCACGTCAAAGTGCAAGTAGATAAATAGGTACCGCTCCGGCGGGAAGGTAAACGGCGTTTCCGTGCGCTGCTCTGGTTCGCCAGAAGCGGCTTAGTCCTGCTGGCCACATGACCTGGAAGCTGTACACCAGCTCACTCAGCCAGTAAAGCGAGATGAGCGCCGCAACCCCAGAGTTGGCCACGACTGGACCTAATGGTCAGGGGTCCCTTTACCTTTACCTACCCAAACATGCAGCATTTGAGATTAAGCACAAGTCTTTTTAGCCCATCATTGATTTTAATTATCTTTCAAATGTTTCCAAGACCATTTTTTAACAGACTGAAAATGTTAATGTCCTATTTAAATCTTATTGTTTGGTAAACAGTTCAGATGTTTTATTACGACCCAGCAGTATATACATTTTGGGTTTTTTTTACCCCAAACATGTTTAGTGCTTAGTTCGGTTTTACAGTGTGTGGTTTTGCAAAGCTGCTTTAAACAAATCCATTTAAGGAAAGGATGTAAAACATTTGAAATACGTGAAATAATCAATATTAAACCACCAGGTTTTAGTCTGAGCTTTGACACCAAGTACACATTCTGCTACTTTGGCTCAGGCACAAGCTAATTCAGGCCCTGTGAGCAGAATTCATGCATGCACAATTTCCCAGTTCATGCCTACCTACAAAATCATGACTCTTCAGCAATTTTGAACATGTTCCCCCGCTTTGAAAAGGATAATTGCAAGCAAACGCAAATGCCACTGTAGCTGGGGCTATTGATCCAAGCAAGCTTGTACCATATGCTCACCTTACGCAGAGTAGACCCACCAAAGTTAATGAACGTGACGGATCAGGGCTGTGCCCAGCGTGAGCTGTTCTCGCCGCAGACCCACTGAAATTCACGAGCGTGACTAACTTAGGTCCAATAATTCCAGTACGTAGGTCTGTTCCAAGTGGAACTAAAATTGGAAGCAAGCCCTAGGTTTGTTGGTTTCAATGGGTCTACTCTGAGCAGGATCTGCAGGGTGTGGATCTGAGCCAGACGCAGCCCAAACTGTTTGTTGTTTGCTTGCTCAAGTGGCTAACAGGCTTAACTCAATACACCACTCAATGTCCAATCTCCCCTCCCGTCTCCATCCTGACCTTCGTCCTCTTGTTTGCATTGCTCAGGTTTCCAAAGATGGCCCAAATTGGGTCAAACGATGGCGGATCCGGTGGGTTTTTTTGACCAAATCCTGCCACAAACCAAACCGCACCAACTCACCCCAGCCGTGTGTCGGTGACTTCTGCCCCCTTCGACGCGGCTTTTGCCAAGCGGCCTTTATTCCAACTCAACGGCGCTGCGTTTTTCTCTCCTCCTGTCTCTCTTGGGTCCCTCTGCCCCGAAACCTCCTTCCACTGTGTAGCAAAGTTTAAACTCCAACTAAACAAAACAAAAAAAAGTCAGCAACAGGGGTCTAGAAATCCCTCCCCTCGCCCAGTCCACCAATGGGACCAAAGACTGGTCGTTGATGGGCAAAAAGAAGGAATTGGCGTCGCTGGGTCAAATTGAGTAACCGTTATCTAAATAGCTTTTGACCGCCACCGCCCACACCTGCTCCTTTCCAGTCTGGGGTGGGCAGTGAGCCCATAGGGGCAAAGTCCTCTCCTGGGCTGTGTCGTGCGGCGAACTTTTACCTAGATTTCAAGAATAGCTTCCTCTCCCTGAAAAAGAACAGCATGTTCAATAATTGCCTTCTAGGGTCAACCCTCCGGTATCAGGACGGTCAGACGCAATCTATCTTTCTTTCCAGGTTTTCAGCTTCGTTGGAAAAAACAGAAGGAAAGAAACAATAAAACCAAGGAATAGAGGGAAATGGATAGTAGCTGTGTTGTAAACAAAAATTGCCCTTTTCCCTTATGGGGTATCCAAGAGCCCGTATAGAATCCTTACATAGGTTCCCTATTGGTAGGAGAAAATAACAGAGGCCAACCAGAGAATATTGAGAAGCAAAGCTGCTAGTGAGCTTGATCTTTATTGATCTGTTGCAACAGGGTGCTCCCCTCACCTGCAGGAGAGAGGAGGGACCCAGAACAATGGCGCGCAAGGCCTTATATAGACTTTTGAAATTGCCATCCTGTAGATCAAGACCATAAAGCTGGACCATAAAGAAGGCTGATTGCCGAAGAATTGATGCTTTTGAATTATGGTGCTGGAGGAGACTCTGGAGAGTCCCATGGACTGCAAGAAGATCAAACCTCTCCATTGTTAAGGAAATCAGCCCTGAGTGCTCACTGGAAGGACAAATCCTGAAGCTGAGGCTCCAAGACTTTGTTCACCTCATGAGAAGAGAAGACTCCCTGGAAAAGACCCTGATGTTGGGAAAGATGGAGGGCACAAGGAGAAGGGGACGACAGAGGACGAGATGGTGGGACAGTGTTCTCAAAGCCACAAACATGAGTCTGACCAAACTGCGGGCGGCAGTGGAAGACAGGAGTGCCTGGTGTGCTCTGGTCCAGGGGGTCACGAAGAGTCGGACAGGACTAAGCGACTAAACAACAACAAGATCAAGACCACCCCCAGAAACATCATACATACATCACAGAACGGCTGTAACCTAAGACCACCCCGCAGATACATCACACCTACATCACAGAAAAGGTGGTCTAAAACAGAAATTTGAATGTTGACTATCTCCTGTCTGGCAGGTTACTAGATTGGATTTCCTGGGGAGCCTTGCCAGTCTTTTGTAATGATAAATACTTAGTTCCTGGGCCAGGTCACAGGCTCACACCCCATTCATATCTTAAATGTGCCCTTAAGACAGGATTTGTGAGGAAAGAGACAAGGAGAGGTTTCCCACTTTGACCTTGCAGAGAAAACATTTGCTCAGTTTAGAAATCAAAATGGTTCCAGGTCGGTCTTCCTGTGCTGATCTACCGTATTTTTTGCTCTATACGACTCACTTTTTCCCTCCTAAAAAGTAAGGGGAAATGTGTGTGCGTCTTATGGAGCGAATGCAGGCTGCGCAGCAATCCCAGAAGCCACAACGGCAAGAGGGATTGCTGCTTTCACTGCGCAGCGATCCCTCTTGCTGTTCTGGCTTCTGAGATTCAGAATATTTTTTTTCTTGTTTTCCTCCTCCAAAAACTTGGAGGTCTGGTGCGTCTTATAGAGCGAAAAATATGGTATGTATGTGCTTGGTTGGTACACTTATGAACATTACCATATATCCAAGACCTCAAAATTCCTATCACAGCCGTCACATACCCAAGAGATCCTGGGACCGCTCTTTTAATACTGTTTGAGGCTGCTAAGGTTTTGGGGCAGTCACACTGCTTCATTACCATCCAGTGCCGATTCTGTAATGTCTTGCTGAAATCTCATCGTTTTTTACGCCGCAAATGTTCCGGTTTGTTTTTGTCCCGCGTCTTTTGCACTATAACGATTTTAGCAATTGTCGCTTTCGTGAAAGGTTGCCCGGTTAGCTCCCGGGCGGAAACATTTTAAGGGAAGGGCTGTTGCTCAGTGGCAGAAAAACGAATAAATCACAGAACAACTAATGAAGGAATCACAGAACCACAAAGAAAGCAGAATAAACCATTAAGGTGTCAAGAACATGTTGCAGATTCAGCTCACCAGTCTGGAGGGACCCCGGATCAGGGCAGCATACCAGTCATAGCTTTGCCATGACAAAGTGAAAAGATGCCATGCAGACAGGTAAAGGTAAAGGACCCCTGACAGTTCAGTCCATTCGCAAACGACTCTGGGGTTGCGGCGCTCATCTCGCTTTACTGGCCGAGGGAGCCAGCGTACAGTCATGTGGCCAGCAGGACTAAGCCGCTTCTGGCGAACCAGAGCAGCGCACGGAAACACCGTTTACCTTTCCACCGGAGTGGTACCTATTTATCTACAGTGGTACCTCAGGTTAAGTACTTAATTCGTTCCGGAGGTCTGTTCTTAACCTGAAACTGTTCTTAACCTGAAGCACCACTTTAGCTAATGGGGCTTCCCGCTGCTGCCGTGCCGCCAGAGCACGATTTCTGTTCTTATCCTGAAGCAAAGTTCTTAACCTGAAGCACTATTTCTGGGTTAGCAGAGTGTGTAACCTGAAGCGTATGTAACCTGAAGCGTATGTAACCCGAGGTACCACTGTACTTGCACTTTGACGTGCTTTCGAACTACTAAGATGGCAGGAGCAGGGACCGAGCAACGGGAGCTCACCCCGTCGCGGGGATTCGAACCGCCGACCTTCTGATCAGCAAGTCCTAGGCTCTGTGGTTTAACCCACAGCGCCACCCGCGTTCCATACTGAATGGTATACAGTGGTACCTCAGGTTAGATACGCTTCAGGTTACAGACTCCTCTAACCCATAAATAGTGCTTCAGGTTAAGAACTTTGCTTCAGGATGAGAACAGAAATTGTGCTCCGGCGGCGTGGCAGCAGCAGCAGGAGGCCCCATTAGCTAAAGTGGTGCTTCAGGTTAAGAACAGTTTCAGGTTAAGAACGGACCTCCGGAACGAATTAAGTTCTTAACCTGAGGTACCACTGTAGTTTCTGTAAAATATGCAGGCACTTATGATATGTAAAATGAACCGTGGAAAGAGAAGAACGGAAGTCACTGATATCTTAAGGTTGTAAAAATGAGTCCTTTAAATTGTAAAACCGAAAACCTAATAAAAATTTGAAGAGAGAGAGAGAGAGAGAGAGAGAGAGAGAAATGAAAACTTCTGGGCTCAAAGACAGACCTGATAAAAGAGACAGATAGAAAAGAGACTGTCCTTGCCTCCCTGTCCTGCTGCGTCCCATCAGGTGTCTATTTAAAAAAAGAAAATAAGTGTTTAAACATCCGTGTTTTACCCTCTTGCCACAAAATCCATATTGACAGACTATTTTTACCGCCACCGCAACCCTGCAGAGGCTCAGTGGCTCCAACCCCTGCTATTTACACCTCCTCTGGTGTTGTGCGGTCATTGGAAAAGCCCAATCCAGCGATAACAAAAAGAGGACTGTCTCCTTCCTGGAGTCTGTGGGTTTCATTTTTATTATAGTTGCATAACCAGGCGCTGACAACGCCAGATGCCCCTTGCACCCCTGCTCCTGCCCGTCACACCCTGATCACGAGCTGCTTTACTCAGACGTTCTCCAAGAGGAATCGAGATTACAGGGAGACTTGACCTTGAGCTCTGGATCATGGCCGCAGGTGAGATGGGCGGGAAACAGCTGGGGAGAGAAGGGGCACCTGTGGAACCTGATGATCTGAAAAAGGGCATTCCAAACCTGAAGGGTTTTTACGCATGTTAAGCTGACATTGCTTAAATATTAACAGCAAGGCGATAACAAACATTTGAAAGACCTACGTCTGGTTGACTACAGCCGCTGGCTAAAAAAATGTGCCTGCGGTTAAGAACGTAAGAATAGCCCTCCTGGATTAGCTCAATGGCCCATCTAGTCTAGGGTCCTGTTTTGTTTTTAAATCATTTTTATTAAGTTTCCCATTTTAACAATTCAATCAAATCACATTGAATGTTCCAAATTACAGTGGTACCTCGGGTTATCCTGCCAACCTAGCAGTTCGAAAGCACGTCAAAGTGCAAGTAGATAAATAGGTACCACTCCGGCGGGAAGGTAAACGGCGTTTCCGTGCGCTGCTCTGGTTCGCCAGAAGCGGCTTAGTCATGCTGGCCACATGACCCGGAAGCTGTACGCCGGCTCCCTCGGCCAATAAAGCGAGATGAGCGCCGCAATCTCAGAGTCGGCGACGACTGGACCTAATGGTCAGGGGTCCCTTTACCTTTACCTCGGGTTAAGTACTTAATTCGTTCCGGATGTCTGTTCTTAACCTGAAGCACCACTTTAGTTAATGGGGCCTCCTGCTGCTGCCGCGCTGCCAGAGCACGATTTCTGTTCTCATCCTGAAGCAAAGTTCTTAACCTGAAGCACTATTTCTGGGTTAGCAGAGTCTGTAACCTGAAGCGTATGTAACCTGAAGCGTACATAACTGGAGGTACCACTGTATACAAATACATATCAAATAGTCCAAATGTTCTGCCTAAATTATAATTTTTTTGTTGGGACTTGCCATGCTTCAAGTTCGGGGGGGGGGGGGCTCTGATCATCTCATATCTCATATCTCTCTATAGTCTTTCCAATGTTGTTGTTGTTTAGTCGTTTAGTCGTGTCCGCCTCTTCGTGACCCCCTGGACCAGAGCACGCCAGGCACTCCTGTCTTCCACTGCCTCCCGCAGTTTGGTCAAACTCATGCTGGTAGCTTTGAGAACACTGTCCCACCATCTCATCCTCTGTCGTCCCCTTCTCCTTGTGCCCTCCATATTTCCCAACATCAGGGTCTTTTCCAGGGAGTCTTCTCTTCTCCTGAGGTGGCCAAAGTCTTGGAGCCTGAGCTTCAGGATCTGTCCTTCCAGTGAGCGCTCAGGGCTGATTTCCTTCAGAATGGAGAAGTTTGATCTTCTTGCAGTCCATGGGACTCTCAAGAGTCTCCTCCAGCACCAGAATTCAACAGCATCAGTTCTTCGGCAATCAGCCTTCTTGATGGTCCAGCTCTTACTTCCATACATCACTACTGGGAAAACCAGAGCTTCAACTATACAGACCTTTGTTGGCAAGGTGATGTCTCTGCTTTTTAAGATGCTGTCTTAAAAACAACATGTCTCTCTCTTATACTGAGGGCACATTTGTGCTCACCAACTAGCCAATCTGTTAGCAAACCCAGTATTGCATTTTGCAGGGGACAAGTGCGAAATGTTCATTCTGTTCTTCCTATTTTTAGGCGGCTGAGAAGTTTTTGGCTGTCATGGGGACCGGGAGCCATGCACACGCCTTGGCAGATGGGCGAGGAGGTAAAAAACAAGAGGAAAGAACAGAATGCAGTGAGCACAATGCTTCCTATGGCAGATACGCTGCAATTTCCCTCAGAATGCCTTGTTGGTAATTTAGGACTGTTGGTAATTTAGGTCCAGAGCCGGCCCTATGATGAGGTAGAGGGAAGCAGCCGCCTCAGGCGGCAGATGCTGAGGTGCGGGGAGGGAACAGATTGACATGTGGCCTTCCCTGTGAAATAAAAAAATTAAGGTCTTATATATATAATAAATGTTCATAAATGTACCAAGCAAACACGTACATAAATATATAAACTACATGTCTGAAGCAGCACAGGAAAACAGCCCAGAAACCATTTTGACTCCCCAACTGACCAAATGATTTCTCTGCAAGGTCAAGAAAAATGGAAAAGCCTCCCCTTTGTCTTTTCATTCACAAATCCTGTCTTAAGGGTATGTCTGTGTATGAATACGGTGAGTCTGTGACTAAATACCGGTATTTATCATTACAAAAGACTGGCCAGGCTCCCCAGGGTATCCAATCAAGTGACCATTAGCAGGTAACCTGCCAGACAGGAGGTAAACAACAAATTTCTGGTAAACAGCACTCAGCTTTCTGTTGTAGACCACCCCTTTCTGTGATGTATGTGTGATGTTTCTGGGGGTGGTCTTGGACTCCAGGGCAGGCAATTTAAAATGTCTATATAAGGGCAGGCACACCTGGGTTCTGGGTTCTCCTCCTTCTGCGTGTGAAGGGGTCACCCTGTTGCAACAGTTCAATAAAGATCAGGCTTACTAGCTGCTTTGCTTCTTAATATTCTCTGGTTGGCCTCTGTTATTTTCTCTGACCGATGGAGAACCTACAAAGGACTCTATAAGGACTCTTGTGTCCCCCATAAGGGAATAAGGGCAGATTCTCGTTTATTACACCTGTGCCCTCTATTGCTAGCCTGCTGCCCCCAAGTACAGTGGAAGATAACTGCATACTCCTCCCCAAGTTTTGCAGCGCTTTGCAGCAAAAGACCCACATTTTGCAGTGCCCCACAAAAGGAGTAATTGATGCATCAAACTGGGGTTCATAGCTAACACCCCAAACCCAACATCACCTGAAATCGGCGCCAAACTTTGACAAGTTTTGCAGCATTTTGCAGCAAAAGCCCCACATTTTGCAGTGCCCCACAAAAGGAGTCATTGACGCATCAAACTGGGGTTCATAGCTAACACCCCAAAACCCAACGTTGCCCGATTCACTCGAAACTGGCACCAAAGGTTGGCAAAAGTTTTGCAGCTTGTTGCAGCAAAAGCCCCACATCTTGCAGCGCCCCACAAAAGGAGTCATTGATGCATCAAACTGGGGTTCACAGCTAACACCCCAAAACCCAACGTTGCCCGTTTCACTCGAAACCGGAACCAAAGGTTGGCAAATGTTTTGCAGCTTTTTGCAGCAAAAGCCCCACATTTTGCAGCGCCCCACAAAAGGAGTCATTGATGCATCAAACTGGAGTTTGTAGCTAACACCCCAAAACCCAACGTTGCCCGTTTCACTCAAAACCGGCCCCAAAGGTTGGCAAACGTTTTGCAGCTTGTTGCAGCAAAAGCCCCACATTTTGCAGTGCCCACAAAAGGAGTCATTGATGCATCAAACTGGGGTTCACAGCTAACACCCCAAAACCCAACGTTGCCCGTTTCACTCGAAACCGGCACCAAAGGTTGGCAAAACTTTTGCAAGTTTTTGCAGCAAAAGCCCCACATTTTGCAGTGCCCCACAAAAGGAGTAACTGATGCATCAAACTGGGGTTTGTAGCTAACACCCCAAAACCCAATGTCGCCTGATTCACTCGAAATCGGCACCAAACTTTGACAAAGGCTTTGTAGCTTTTTGCAGCAAAAGCCCCACATTTTGCAGCGCCCCACAAAAGGAGTCATTGATGCATCAAACTGGAGTTTGTAGCTAACACCCCAAAACCCAACGTTGCCCGTTTCACTCAAAACCGGCCCCAAAGGTTGGCAAACGTTTTGCAGCTTGTTGCAGCAAAAGCCCCACATTTTGCAGTGCCCCACAAAAGGAGTCATTGATGCATCAAACTGGGGTTCACAGCTAACACCCCAAAACCCAACGTTGCCCGTTTCACTCGAAACCGGCACCAAAGGTTGGCAAAACTTTTGCAGGTTTTTGCAGCAAAAGCCCCACATTTTGCAGTGCCCCACAAAAGGAGTAACTGATGCATCAAACTGGGGTTTGTAGCTAACACCCCAAAACCCAATGTCGCCTGATTCACTCGAAATCGGCACCAAACTTTGACAAAGGCTTTGTAGCTTTTTGCAGCAAAAGCCCCACATTTTGCAGTGCCCCACAAAAGGAGTCATTGATGCATCAAAGTGGGGTTCGTAGCTAACACCCCAAAACCCAACGTTGCCCGTTTCACTCGAAACCGGCACCAAAGGTTGGCAAAACTTTTGCAGGTTTTTGCAGCAAAAGCCCCACATTTTGCAGTGCCCCACAAAAGGAGTAACTGATGCATCAAACTGGGGTTTGTAGCTAACACCCCAAAACCCAATGTCGCCTGATTCACTCGAAATCGGCACCAAACTTTGACAAAGGCTTTGTAGCTTTTTGCAGCAAAAGCCCCACATTTTGCAGTGCCCCACAAAAGGAGTCATTGATGCATCAAAGTGGGGTTCGTAGCTAACACCCCAAAACCCAACGTTGCCCGTTTCACTCAAAACTGGCACCAAAGGTTGGCAAAAGTTTTGCAGCTTTTTGCAGCAAAAGCCCTATATTTTGCAGCGCCCCACAAAAGGAGTCATTGATGCATCAAACTGGGGTTCATAGCTAACACCCCAAAACCCAACGTTGCCTGATTCACTCGAAACTGGCGCCAAAGGTTGGCAAAAGTTTTGCAGCTTTTTGCAGCAAAAGCCCCACATTTTGCAGCGCCCCACAAAAGGAGTCATTGATGCATCAAACTGGGGTTCGTAGCTAACACCCCAAAACCCAACGTTGCCTGTTTCACTCGAAACTTGCGCCAAAGGTTGCCAAAAGTTTTGCAGCTTTTTGCAGGAAAAGCCCCACATCTTGCAGCGCCCCACAAAAGGAGTCATTGATGCATCAAACTGGGGTTCGTAGCTAACACCCCAAAACCCAACGTTGCCCGTTTCACTCGAAACTTGCGCCAAAGGTTGACAAAAGTTTTGCAGCTTTTTGCAGGAAAAGCTCCACATTTTGCAACGCCCCGCAAATGGAACTATAAACCCTCAAACCCAGGGGTATCATAGGGTCACCGCAGAATCCCAACATCACCCAATTTGCTCCAAACCAGCGCCAAAATTTGGCAAAAGATTTCCATATTTTGGCAGCAAAAAGCCCACACTTTGCTGTGCTCCACAAACGGAGCAATAGACCATTTACATTTGCACATACTGTAATTTCTCCCGATTCTCCTGGGTGAAAACCTTGGGAAATGTAGTTTGCTCCGGGTGCTGGGAATTGTAGCTCTGTGATGGATAAAATACATTTCCCAGGAGACTTTGGGGGAAGAGGGATGCCATGAGCTTAAAATATATTTATGACCTTAGTTATAATCGAAGCAGTCCTATTGAAATTTCTCTCTAAATGTAAAATTTAAGGTCAGATTGGGTTAAGGTAAATTATAGAACAAAAATTGAGAAAGGTGGAAAGGATTTGCTGAAATAGCTAATTTGAATTAGAATACAAAAAAGGGAGGTGCGAGGAGGTCGATGAAACAAGTAAATGAAAGACAAAGATATGGAAATACTGGATGTGTTTTTAAATGTTTTTGTTCTTAAATGTTTTTGTTCTTTCTCTTTATTGTTGTGCTGTATTGTTTTTTTATTTTGCTTTTTATTTTTTGATGTATTGTAACTTCTTATTGTCTTTCTTTTCTTTTTTTGTAATTGTTAAACTTTTAATAAATATCTTTTTTTTAAAAAAAGAAATTTCTCTCCATACTTAAAAAACATGGCCTGCCCCAAGGAATCCTGGGAACTGTAGTCTGTCTAAGCTGCTGGGAACTGTCATTCTGTGTGGGGCAAACTACAGTTCCCACAATCCTTTGGGGGAAGACGCAGCCTCTTAAAGTTACCTCAGTGAAACTCATTGGTGAGGGGAAAATGCACTCTGCACAGCCTCAGAGGTGCTCTTATTTATTCATAGTAGGGCCTTTGATAAGTGTTTTGGGTGCTTGGACTTTGGCTGCTTCCCGGCCATTACCGAGATGAGATAATTCTCTTTCTCTCAATCACCCCTACGGCCAATAATTTTCCCGCCCATTTTTCTTTCCCGCCCGCCCACCCACGCGCATGCGCCGCTCTTTCCCGTCTCGAAACCAATCTTTCTCCGGTCGGCTCTCGCGAGATTTCCCTTTCGCCGCCTTCCCCAGGACCCCGCCGTACGTCCCATGTACGCACGCACGCGTTCTAGGACTTCGGGTACAAACGCCTAACCAATCAAAGCGGGCTGTGGGCGGGGGAAAGAAAAAGGAAAAAGGGTAGGCGTTGCGACCTCAAAGGCAGCAGCCAATCCCGTTGGCGGGCACCGTCCTGCGCGTGCGCTGCCGAACCGAACCGACCAATGGGGCCCGGGGGCGCCCCGGCGGCGCCCAATCGGAGGAGAGGGCTGGCGGAGCTCGCCCAATGGGGCGTGGGCGTTGGTGGGGCGGCCGTCCCTCTCCTCCTCCTCCTCTCCCTTTGGCCACGCCCCTCCTCCTCCCACCCCCTCCCACCCCAGCTCCGCGTTCCCCTGAAGGGCCGGGCTTGGGAGCGCAGGTAGGCCTCACGCGCAGCCTCGGCCTCGCGTAGCTCGCCGAGCCGGGGGATGACGACGGCGACGCCGCGACTGAGGCGAGGCCCTCGCTGAGGAAGAAGGCCGCCGCCGCCGCCGCCGCCATGCCGGCCAAGAGGAAGCTGGTGCCGCCGGCCCTCAACATCACCCCCACCATCGCCGAAGGGCCCAGCCCCACAGGCGGGGAGGGCGACGGCTCCGAGTGAGTGCGGGGCGGAGGCGGGGAGGGAAGCGGGAGGGGTCTCCGAGGGGCGGGGGCCTTTGGAAGTGGGGCTGGGAGGCGGAAGGGGGCGAGGGGAGGTCTAGGAAAGGGAAGGCAGGGTGGGGGGGGGGAAGGGTGTTAGACTGAATTATTATTATTATTATTATTAAGGCATTGGGAGGGGTGTTATACTGAATTATTACTATTATTATTATTATTATTAAGGCAGGGGGAGAGGGTGTTATACTGAATTATTATTATTGAGGCAGGGGGAGGGGGTGTTATACTGAATTATTATTATTATTATTATTATTAAGACATTGGGAGGGGTGTTATACTGAATTATTATTATTATTATTAAGCCGGGGGAGGAGGTGTTATACTGAATTATTATTATTATTATTATTAAGACATTGGGAGGGGTGTTATACTGAATTATTATTATTATTATTATTATTAAGACATTGGGAGGGGTGTTATACTGAATTATTATTATTATTATTAAGCCGGGGGAGGAGGTGGTATACTGAATTATTATTATTATTATTAAGCCGGGGGAGGAGGTGGTATACTGAATTATTATTATTATTATTATTATTAAGACATTGGGAGGGGTGTTATACTGAATTATTATTATTATTATTAAGCCGGGGGAGGAGGTGGTATACTGAATTATTATTATTATTATTAAGCCGGGGGAGGAGGTGGTATACTGAATTATTATTATTATTATTATTAAGACATTGGGAGGGGTGTTATACTGAATTATTATTATTATTAAGCCGGGGGAGGAGGTGGTATACTGAATTATTATTATTATTATTATTATTATTATTATTAAGACATTGGGAGGGGTGTTATACTGAATTATTATTATTATTATTATTAAGGCATTGGGAGGGGTGTTATACTGAATTATTATTAAGGCATGGTGTGTGTGGGGAGGGGGTGTAAGACTGAATTATTATTAAGGCAGGGAGAGGGGGTGTTATACTGAATTATTATTATTATTATTATTAAGCCGGGGGAAGGGGTGTTATACTGAATTTTTGTTATTATTAAGGCAGGGTGTGTGTTAGACTGAATAATTATTATTAAGACACGGTGTGGGGGGGAGGGGGTGTAAGACTGAGTTATTATTAAGGCAGGGAGAGGGGGTGTTATACTGAATTATTATTATTACTAAAGCAGGGGAGGGGTGTTATACTGAATTACTATTATTATCATTATTATTATTATTAAAGCAGGGGGAGGGGTGTTATACTGATTTATTATTATTAAGGCAGGGGAAGGGGTGTTACACTGAGTTATTATTATTATTAAAGCAGGGGGAGGGGTGTTACACTGATTTATTATTATTAAGGCAGGGGGAGGGGTGTTATACTGAATTATTATTATGGCAAGGTGTGGGGGGAGAGGGTGTTAGACTGAATTATTATTATTAAGGCAGGGAGCGTGGGGGAGGGGGAATAAGACTGACTTATTATTAGTAATAATAATAATAATAGCTTGTGGGATGCTCTTCCCAGAGAGGCTCTTTGCATATATTTAGGTGCCAGCCAAAAACATTCTTCTTCATTCCTGCATTGCAGGGGGTTGGGCTGGGTGACCCTTTCATCTCTACAATTCTAGGATTCTCCCACAACCTTTGGCTCATCAAATCATCTGTTTAAAGTGGTTGGGGTTTTTTTGGGGGGGGGTGTAATTGTTTTTGTGATTTGCTAGGGTATGTGTTATATGTATATATTGCAAGGCAATATATATGAAGGCATAGAAATAATGTATAGTGTGGGGGATTCCCTGGTCCTGAATGGGGTAACTGTGCCCCTGAAGGACCAGGTGCGCAGCCTGGGAGTCATTTTGGACTCACAGTTGTCCATGGAGGCGCAGGTTAATTCTGTGTCCAGGGCAGCTGTCTACCAGCTCCATCTGGTATGCAGGCTAAGACCCTACCTGCCCGTGGACTGTCTCACCAGAGTGGTGCATGCTCTGGCTATCTCCCGCTTGGACTACTGCAATGCGCTCTACATGGGGCTACCTTTGAAGGTGACCCGGAAACTGCAATTAATCCAGAATGCGGCAGCTAGACTGGTGACTGGGAGTGGCCGCTGGGACCACATAACACCGGTCCTGAAAGACCTTCATTGGCTCCCAGTACGTTTCCGAGCACAATTCAAAGTGTTGGTGCTGACCTTTAAAGCCCTAAATGGCCTCAGTCCTGTATACCTGAAGGAGCGTCTCCACCCCCATCGTTCAGCCCGGACACTGAGGTCCAGCTCCGACGGCCTTCTGGCGGTTCCATCCCTGCGAGAAGTGAGGCTACAGGGAACCAGGCAGAGAGCCTTCTCGGTAGTGGCGCCTGCCCTGTGGAACGCCCTCCCAGCAGATGTCAAGGCAACAAACACCTATTTTACTTTTAAAAGACAACTGAAGGCAGCCCTCTTTAGGGAAGTTTTTAATGTCTAATGCTGTATTGTTTTTAATATTCAGTTGGAAGCCGCCCAGAGTGGCTGGGGAAACCTAGCCAGATGGGCGGGGTATAAATAATAAATTATTATTATTATTATTATTATTATTATTATTATTATTATTATTATTATTATTGCCCACCCTTCCCCCGTACGGTCTCAGGGCAGGTTGCAGCAACTGAAAAGCATAACGCTTCCACGAAAACACACAACGTTACACAAGGTGTTGTGTGTGGTTGTTTTTTTTAAAGTGGCTTGCGATCGTGGGAAGAAATACATATAAATACATATAAAATACATATAAAAGTAGGGTGTGGGGATGCAGAGGTGGGGAAGAGGAGGTCTAGGAAAGGGAATAAAGGGTGTGGGGGTGTTAGACTGAGGGAGGAAGGGTGGGCGCTTGTGGGAATAATTATTATTATTATTATTATCCGCCCTTCCCTTTAAAGTCCTGGGGCTGGTGACAGCAACTAAAAGACAGCACTAAGATGAAAAGCACAGTGTTGCACAATGTTTTAAAACAACATAGCAATCTCAGAAAGAAGGCATGTCTTTATAAATACGTACCTCAGGTGCCAAAAGCTGGGTCAGAAGAGGTGAGGCTTCAGCATTTACCAAAAACTAGATTGTTATGATTACTTGCTTGAGAGCAGTACATGTGAAAAGGATCTAGGAGTCTTGGTTGACCACAAACTTGACATGAGCCAACAGTGTGACGCGGCAGCTAAAAAAGCCAATGCAATTCTGGGCTGCGTCAATAGGAGTATAGCATCTAGATCAAGGGAAGTAATAGTGCCACTGTATTCTGCTCTGGTCAGACCTCACCTGGAGTACTGTGTCCAGTTCTGGGCACCACAGTTCAAGGAGGACACTGACAAACTGGAACGTGTCCAGAGGAGGGCAACCAAAATGGTCAAAGGCCTGGAAACGATGCCTTATGAGGAACGGCTAAGGGAGCTGGGCATGTTTAGCCTGGAGAAGAGGAGGTGAAGGGGTGATATGATAGCCATGTTCAAATATATAAAAGGATGTCATATAGAGGAGGGAGAAAGGTTGTTTTCTGCTGCTCCAGAGAAGCGGACACGGAGCAATGGATCCAAACTACAAGAAAGAAGATTCCACCTCAACATTAGGAAGAACTTCCTGACAGTAAGAGCTGTTGGACAGTGGAATTTGCTGCCAAGGAGTGTGGTGGAGTCTCCTCCTTTGGAGGTCTTTAAGCAGAGGCTTGACAACCATATGTCAGGAGTGCTCTGATGGTGTTTCCTGCTTGGCAGGGGGTTGGACTCGATGGCCCTTGTGGTCTATTCCAACTCTATGATTCTATGATTCTATAAAGTGACGTTGCCACACGCCCCTCAAGAGTTGCACAACTTGGGAGGGGTTTCCACAGAAAATGCCATCTCCTGCCTGTTGGAGGGCAGAGGAGTAATCAAGGGGGCTCCCTCTGCCAGTCTTAGGATCCAATAGGTCTGTGGGGAAGGAGGCGGTCTTTCAAGAATTTGAGGAGTTTAGGGCTTTAAACACTACTTAATGGCCTGGTGTCTTTGTGTTTATGTTCTTAAATGTGTTGTTGTAAATTGCTTGTAGGCCTTTGGGTCCAAAACTCTAGGTATTTTATTTTATTTTATTTTTTATTTACTGGTTGCTTTTTTACTGAGGTAACTCAAAGCGACTGACATTATGTGAGCAAACAAACACGCACGTTAAAGATAGCGCAACACAAAAACATCTAAAAGACCATCCCTATTGTTAAAAGGCAAGATTGAAACATCCCGCTCACTCAAGGAAGCCAAACGCCTGGCAAAAAAGAAATGTTTTTTCGCCTTGCGCCTAAAGCTATGTCATGATGGCACCAGGCAAGCATCCCTGGGGAGAGCGTTCCATAAGTGGGGAGCCACCAATGAAAAGGCCCCATTCTGTTGTTGTGCTCCAGACCTCCTAAGATAACAATCACAAGGTCCAGGTCAGTTCATATGGGAAGAGCTATTGGAGCCTTGAGCCACGTAAGTAGTATTAGTGTTATCAGTGGGTTGCATGCAACTAAGTCCTACTCAGGGTAGACCCATTGAAATGAATAAACCTAAGTTAGCCATGCCTATTATTTTCAATGGGTCTACTCTTGAGTACAAGGGACGCGGGTGGCGCTGTGGGTAAAAGCCTCAGCGCCTAGGGCTTGCCGATCGAAAGGTTGGCGGTTTGAATCCCCGCAGCGGGGTGTGCTCCCGTCGTTCGGTCCCAGCGCCTGCCAACCTAGCAGTTCGAAAGCACCCCCGGGTGCAAGTAGATAAATAGGGACCGCTTACTAGCGGGAAGGTAAACGGCGTTCCGTGTGCTGCGCTGGCTCGCCAGATGCAGCTTTGTCACGCTGGCCACGTGACCCGGAAGTGTCTCCGGACAGCGCTGGCCCCCGGCCTCTAGAGTGAGATGGGCGCACAACCCTAGAGTCTGTCAAGACTGGCCCGGACGGGCAGGGGTACCTTACTCTTGAGTAGGGCTGTCACTGGATGCAACTCAAGAACAATACTTTAT